TGTAACGTCGTTATTAAAAAAAAAAGCAGTCAAAAGACACCATATTCTTTTGTTTAGTTTAAATATCTTTTGGGGGGGGGGGGCACGTGATTAAGCAGTATGAAAAGAAACATGGCTTACGATACTGTTTTTCTCTCGCGCTTGAATCACAGATCTGACAGATTATAACAGCTTTAACACACACCTTTTAAAGTTGTGTGTCACAAAAACACTCTGTAATCCACTCAAAACGCTATTGAAGCCCATTTTCGCATTGCAAATTACCAGTTGTAAACGCTGTAAGCGGATGTTCAAAACATTCTACCGGAAGACGCTGGTCGCTATGGCGCCCTCCATGCAGCAACCAAGAAAAAGGTCTATAAATGTAACGAGTAGGGGTGTGAATCTACACTGGTCTGACGGGTTGGTTCGGTTATGATTATCATGCCATCGATTCGGTTCATTTCGATATCTCGGTGGATTGACGATGCTTTCCATACATAATTCTATTTTTTCTTCACAACACAAGATTTTTTTTTTTGATCAAAATCTATAAATATATTTATATATATTGTTTGTAATACAATTTTGTTCTTTAATACAGCAGACCCTTAATTTGACCTGCTCAAAGACAACACTCTTTCTGAAAGTATCAAACAAAACTCCAACACATGCACAGAAGACAGCGTGAGCATTTATAGCTAATAAACTAATGTAAATATCATCCTGCTTGCTTTTAGAGCGCTGACAGGCGAGGTCTAACACCCCTATGATTGGTTATTGTCTTACCCTGCTCAACAGAAAGGGCTGCGATCGGCTTTAGAAATTAAATCGCTGTTTACCGATGGCGTGAAAAAACTGCTACGGTTACACTCTATATGCGCATAATACGCGCTTATCACAGGTAATCCGTGAAAGAAACAGTGGAGAAAACTTGTACCACAGGCACGCTCGTGTCTTGATCCACAAGTATCGCTTGAACAGTCAAGTGGAGAGGAAAAGTGACCTCACAAACAGGTCAGCAGGTCAAATGTCCAAAGTAAGAGAGAGAGAGAGAGAGAGAGGCACAGGTGGATTCTTACAGCATTTCACCCTAGTAGTGAAATAGCGGCTCGTGTGCTGTGCCGCCTTCATTGTAGTAAGAGCGACACTCGGCCTCGCCTCCTTTACCATAGCATTCTACTGCGACATCGCGCATAGGAGATAAATGACATCAGTGTGTAATAACCGGTTGTGATCTCTTGCTGAACCGATAAAAATAATTTTGACACCCCTAGTAACGAGTAACGACGCAGCACATAAAGAATCTATCGGAGTATTAAACTCATCGAAAATATGTACTGAAGTAAAAGTGGAAGGAGGAGTAAAAAAACAATACTCCAGTAGAGTACAGATACAGCCTTTTAGTACTTAAGTACAGTAGTGAAGTAGTTCTACTTCGTTGATATACATCTCTAGGAAACTTGTTCAAGTAAAGCTTGTAGCAAGGCTCCAATGTTAAATTGACCTTTTCTGTGAGGCAAAACATCCACAATCCAACGTGGTTATAGCATGACTTATTGACCAGTCTAACATATATACATTACTAGGCTGACAGGGTCATCAGCTGGGGGAAAATGTACAGGCCAGACGTTGGTCCTTTTAAAAACCACTGTGGGCCAGACACTGTGATGTTGAACTAGGGTGGCTATATAATAGTTGATTTCTACGTTACGCTAAACGATAGCGCTACGATAAGCTAAACAAAACAGCATAGCACTGGAATAAATGAGTGTACAGAGAAACATAGAGGTTCTACAGAGGGTCTATTGACCTTATTCTAAAATGCGGAAGTGCGCCTGTTTTCACGATTGTTTCAGAACTTCCGCATCAGTCGCCTATGGGAAAAATGACTAGGAATAATAAACGGCAGAAAACGGTCAAACTACTTACTCTACAAACAAATGTTTGCATTACTAAACCGACTAAGTAGAATAATATAATAGGAAAATATCAGTTTGCAACTGATACAACGAGACCGGAAGTCTTGAGCCAAAAAGATTCAAATGGCTGCGCCCACTCGTCGGCAAAGAATAACGTGAATAGTCCTATTGTGGTTCAGGTTCAGACTAGGCTTTACATGCTTCTTGACCTTTGATGGTGAGTTAAAAGGCATCCAGATGAAAATCGCAATGATGAGCTATCTGGCTAGACTTTCCCCAACGCCTACTGCAGTTACGATCAGGTTACTTGCACACACTGCAACCAGATGCAAACTCTCAAACAGTATGGGCCTCTAGCACAACACGTAACACTCAATGAGGTCACCGACCACTTGGCACGATTCAAAATTGGGTTTCGCCTGAAGATTCCGGTGCCACTCTAGGCCCACAGTGTTTTCCCCACCATTATATTGGGGGGGGGGCTTCCCGCCCCCCTTGAGGTCAAGTTAATTGTATTTTATACATAGCACCAGATCACAACTTCTTTTAATAAACGAGCTAAATAGCCGTATGTAATGTCTTATTTACACAACGGCATGTGATTTCGGTCTCTACATGGTCGCTCCATTACATATTTCTGCTCTCTGAATCGCCCACAGTGGAGTTCTACACAGCCACTGTATGCTGAATGGGAATGAAACTGTGTGCCACGTTTGACAGGACCCAAGACGCACGTGCACTTACGTATATTATGCATAGCCTGCAGCAGCCAAAACAAAGGTAAAAGATGGCCCAATCCCAATTTTATTTTTTTGTACCCCTACCCCTTCCCCCTGGCCCTTAAAACCGAGGGTGAAGGGGAAGGGCTTCAAAACGTACCCCTAAGAATTGGGACAGCACTACAGCACCTGCACTCGTCATCATATGTCATCGCCATCTCTGATACGATATGAGATTAGAAAATATGAGATTAGACGATCGCGACTGCTGTAGTTATTCCAGTCGAGTTATTTATTGGTATTTATCTTCAGGAAATCACTGAAGGCATATGTTGTGTTATCATAACGGTCTGATGCGACACTAAGATCATAATACTGCGCATTTAACACAGTGGCCATATTTATCTATGTAAACACAGCAAAAACAACATTAACATTATAGCAGACACCGTAAAAAGCCCAATCCTGGCCATTAGACTTTTCGACAGAGTATTCGAGTGTCATCGAGTGACAGAATGCTGTGGGACTGCTATACAGGAGTTATGATTATGGACTATAGATTGCGAAATTTACCGGTTTTTATTTTAGCGGGGGTTTTTTTTAAAGCATGACGGTAAAACACCTACGTCGTCAGGAATATATTCAAACATGTGTTTGTCTCTTGTAAACATTTGTAATTTGTAACAACAAAATACTAATTTGTGGATCTCCTTACTTCCGGGTGTAACTATCTGCCGTTGTGGCTGGTGTGTTCTGGGAAATTTTATGATCCCTTGGTTTCGAGTGTGGTCCTGAAAAATCTTTGTTCGAAGGGCTATTCACCCCTTCCCCTTAGCCCTACGCCTTCAAGCTAAAGAGAATTGGGACACCCCTACCCCTTGACGCGCAAAACGAGGGGAAGGGGCAAGGGGAAGGGCTACGGGGTAGAATTGGGAGTGGGCCAACGTGTGGGGGCGTAAGTAATGTGCTCGGTCGCAGCAGCTAAAGTATATACAGATGCGATGGGACCTCTGTTTAGTTCATTAGCGTGACCCGCGCGAGTGATGCATGCTTTGTTGCAAGTGCAGTCATTGTATCTCCAGTGTTTTGAGCTGCTGTGACGCGTTCTCCCCCATCCTGCGTCTCATCCAACCTGACCTCTCCCGGAAGCTCCGCGAGTCTCCCGCAAATTTATACCGGCCCTGTGATCCCCCAAAATAAGTTATAATACTCGGAAATCACAGCGACGAGAGTGAATGTGCAAGACAACAGATCGCGAGAGGCACAGTATTGTTCTAAGCATTAATTGAATAGAGCAGTAAAGATATCGCGAGTGCAAATCCCTCTATCTCTGAGTGATCTGCTGTTATTAGTTGGAGACCAGCAAAACATTTGAACGGTCCTGCATGTATTTAGGCCTCTTTACATATATAACAATTGAAAGTTCTGTTTTGACTATATTGCAAGTTCACTAAAAGCTGGCTGGAACTATTAGATACAATTTGTTTTGTTTTTTTACATGAATATTTAATTATATACATTTTTGTAATACACTCATTGCTATAAACAGTAGTTTATAGACCTCTTTCCTTTTAGTAAAGAAGTTTTAGTCTCATTGGTGTGCATTTTAATTTTAATGCATCAAACATACGCTCCAAACTTGTTCTTGGTTGATTCATGTTGAATTCTTCTTTTATCATTTGCAGTGTTTCCAAAATGCATTGTAATTTTTCATCACAATTTTTATATCTGTGTTATATTATTTTCTGTGGCGGTTTATTCCGCTGTGGTGACCCCTGATAACCAAGGGACTACGCCAGAGTAAAATTAATGGATGAACTATTTCTTATAAAGCTGCTTCTGGCCATGACACGCTCACACCTGGTTATAAGATGGTTATAAGAGACGTGTTTAAGGTATAATATGCAGCATCCTTCATTTGTTCTCTTAGGTAAGGCTAGATCTTCTCTTAAGGTTCATACTTAGAGGAAGATGTGCTCAAAGCATTATAAAGCTTGAAGCATTAGAATCGGTGTTCAGTATTAGCCGATCACCATGACAAGAAATGGGTACTCAATGATATCAGCTGCAAAAATCCTGATCGGAGCAGCCCTAGCTTTAACCCAACTTGGCTGTCAGAGCAGCAATACTCCCCCTGGCTCCACAAGACTGATCTTGGTAAGTCAGTAAATACACCCTTAGGAAAAAGAAGTATACTTAAGTAAAGGTCAAGTATAAAAGTATACTTTATTTAGCAAGTAATTAACCCCAAGAAACACTGCAATGACAAAAGCTGCCCACTTTGTGGAAAAAAAAAAAAAACGATATAAAAATAAATTAACATTTTTAGCCAGTACAGTTGTACACTTCAAATAATTTTTTGTTTATTTATTTTTTTTTTTTTACTGCTGTCGTTAAAAGAAACAAATTTACACCTCGACTCTTTGGCTGCACTTACACTGCAGATCTTGATGGTTACTTCCGATTTTGTGACTGTATCTGATTTTTTTGATGACCTGCTAATATAATCTTTTAAAAGTGACTCGTTTCCGATCGCCTACATTTACAGAGCACACGGCAAAGACGCAATTAGCTGAAAAAAAAAGAGCGGGCGCTGACTAACAGCTGATAATTTAAGAGTGCTCTTTTCCCTATTCCTGTATGGAATCTGTTCGCAGCTTTTTACAAGCTGTTTTACTATAGTTTATGACAGAAAGGTTCTCATTTGTCCATTTTCTTTTAATATATGCCTTTTTTAAACCTTTAGGCATCTTAATGTAATGTCCCATACGAGATTTATGCACGTGATGTAGCTATGCACCAGTTTTATATTAGTTTATATTGGTTACATAGCGGACATTCCACTCTCATGCTTAAATGCCTGTGCTATATGACAAAATAAAAGCTGTTTAAGTCCTCGTGTATGAGATTTAAGGTTTGGGATTCTGCTGAAGTCTGTCCTGAAAAAAAAGTGTCAGACTTGACGTCATTCGCTACGATTTTTATTGATGCACGACTCTCATTGACAGGTGAAAATCTGATCACCCTGCTTAAACTGCAGACACGAAAACAGAGATCCGATTCATATCGGATAAATTTCCACATATGAACAAGCCCTGAATCTGATTTGAGTAAATCGGAATCCATGTGATTTATTCCTGCTCACAAGTACATGGGCCATATCAGATCTGTGCCACATGGAAGAAAACAATCGGAATTGAGTCACTTGAACAGTGCAGTGTAAATGCGGCCTTTGTGTCGGTGTCAGTCCGAACAGATACGCCGCGCCACGCCGAGACGAGACCCCCCACCCTAAAACTGTAAACCTAGGGGAAACACTGGCCTTTAAAGTGAGGTTGCCAATCTCACTTAGGCGGGCACACGTGTGGAATCATGACAGGGTAATTAACCAAGATTGACCGAATGCCAGCTGACACGGTAGATCCTACTTGGAGTACGTTGTTGCTGATGCCTCACTGCGGTTTGCAATCCGAGTTACAAGGCCAAGGTATCTGACGTGTCCTCCAGCAGGGGTCAGCTTATGTCAGACAGATGAACCCAATCTTTTGATTTGCAAAATGGACAACCTGTACCATAACCACACAGACACAAGGCTATAAAAGCCTTAGATGAAGGCAGTACTTGTAAAATCTACTATTTTGGGCCAACCAATCTAAGTAAAAATCAACTTCTCATATCGTGTCGCAGTAACACTGATTTATGATATCTGACCATTACATTTAGATAGATTAGATAAACAACCATAAAATACGAGACGTCTCGCGAGACTACGGTCGACCAAAAGGTTCAAACGTTAGGCAGATTATCTAACAGAATATAGTCTAGAAATATGAAAAAACAGACGGCGCCTGGCCTCACTCTAGTTACAATAGTAAGGCCTTTAACAGATAGATTTGGAGGTTTTCCAAACTATCTCAGAAGCACTGAGGGAAATCGCTGTTCCGACAGGCGCGATAATATTTCAATCATTTGCATGACGTGCATCTTTGCAAAATCGATTTTGAATATTGTGAACTGCAGTTTAATAGTTACACTAACAGTAGTCATCTGTGTGCTAGGGAATGGCTGAAAGACGTGCGTCCTTCCAGCTGTGGAGAGACAGACAGCCAGCTGCATACACCTTTGGTCATGCTGGTGAGTACAATAAAATCACAGTGGAATAAAAAACTTTGCTTCACAGAAAACGTTTAAAATGACCGCCCGCATTCTCCACCATAATCTGTAGCGAAATTAGCTCAATTTCATGAATCTTAATGAGCAATAATAACCAGCTATCATCAATTATGAATACTCAGAATCAGAGATGTATAAACAGGGCTGAAAATTGCGACCATTTTGGTTGCATATGCGCCTGAAATTTTATTTATGCGACCTAAAAATATATTTGGGAGCATTTGTGCGAGTGCATAAAATTGTTGTGTGCGACCACTTTTTGCTGCAATATGTTCACCATATGCGCGGATTCCGAAGACATTTACGCAGAATGCATCTCTTCACTTGAAACGCGAAGCGCAGTGCTCAGGACTGGTTTAAAACCGTTGTCATATCAACTTGCTGCAGTAAACAAAGCAAAGTCCGTAATGCTTGCCCCGCCTCCGCGCTCTTCTTATAGGCCCACTGCTCTAGCATTGAAATATCAGCTGTCAATCACTCAGTCAATGCCTTCTGGCTTGGGATGACAGAGAGCACTACTACCGTGAAAAACGTAAAGCGCTGAAAATGACAATGAAGATAACACTGACAGATTTTGATTTTGAAACCATGCCATCTAAAGTTACAAATAATAACACATCTTAACAGTGATCGTGCTGAATGTTAATCCACCATCTACACTTTTCGAAGAGTGGATAAAAGACTTCAAGTCCGCTATGAAAAGTCTGTGGGATGAAATTTTCCGGTAACTGCGTGCCACATCTAGCACGAAAGCTTCTGTTTAATCCTTCATAAAATCGCCATAAGCTGTTCACCGTGCAAGTGGCAGCTATTTGTCAAATTTAACACCACGTACACCATCGCAAACAGGCTTACATTGAGTAAACTAATACCGCTACTCATGAAAAGACCGGTATCGCTACATGACGTATGCATAAAATAAGGTACAGTATATGTCAAAAACATCAGTGCAATATTAGACACGACCCGTGAGAACAGCACAGTTATATCAGTTACAGATTCAATAATGTCAAGCAGTGCGTGCAGGGCGGGTTTGCGGTCCCTGTATGCTTTGGTCACTCAGTTTTGTTATAAAAATCTATTTTCTTGTGATAACGGGATTTCGTTGAGACACATTTTCCTCACGCTTGCAAATTTGCATTTTTTTTTTTTTTTTTGCTTGTTAGTTTGATTACTGTTGATTTCAAATGCAATAAATATGTTTGTATAAAACTTTTAGTAACTGTGTTTATAAGTTAGACTAAATTTTGGTTGATGCGCCTACATTTTTAAAGTTAGGAGCACCAGTCTTACCCAGCAAAAAGGTTAATTTCGAACAATGATAAAGTACTAGAGACACAGACTTAGCTAAAACTACAAGTGCTCTTTAAAAAAAGTGACTTGAGTAGAAGTTGAAGTGCTCTTTAAGCACCATACTTAAGTGGAAGTATCAACACTTTTTGTACTTCAGTATTGCAAGTAGTTTATTTCAAAGTTTACTGCTCAAGTACTGAAATTAAAAATACATATTATGTATTGTGTAACGTCGTTATTAAAAAAAAAAGCAGTCAAAAGACACCATATTCTTTTGTTTAGTTTAAATATCTTTTGGGGGGGGGGGGCACGTGATTAAGCAGTATGAAAAGAAACATGGCTTACGATACTGTTTTTCTCTCGCGCTTGAATCACAGATCTGACAGATTATAACAGCTTTAACACACACCTTTTAAAGTTGTGTGTCACAAAAACACTCTGTAATCCACTCAAAACGCTATTGAAGCCCATTTTCGCATTGCAAATTACCAGTTGTAAACGCTGTAAGCGGATGTTCAAAACATTCTACCGGAAGACGCTGGTCGCTATGGCGCCCTCCATGCAGCAACCAAGAAAAAGGTCTATAAATGTAACGAGTAGGGGTGTGAATCTACACTGGTCTGACGGGTTGGTTCGGTTATGATTATCATGCCATCGATTCGGTTCATTTCGATATCTCGGTGGATTGACGATGCTTTCCATACATAATTCTATTTTTTCTTCACAACACAAGATTTTTTTTTTTTGATCAAAATCTATAAATATATTTATATATATTGTTTGTAATACAATTTTGTTCTTTAATACAGCAGACCCTTAATTTGACCTGCTCAAAGACAACACTCTTTCTGAAAGTATCAAACAAAACTCCAACACATGCACAGAAGACAGCGTGAGCATTTATAGCTAATAAACTAATGTAAATATCATCCTGCTTGCTTTTAGAGCGCTGACAGGCGAGGTCTAACACCCCTATGATTGGTTATTGTCTTACCCTGCTCAACAGAAAGGGCTGCGATCGGCTTTAGAAATTAAATCGCTGTTTACCGATGGCGTGAAAAAACTGCTACGGTTACACTCTATATGCGCATAATACGCGCATATCACAGGTAATCCGTGAAAGAAACAGTGGAGAAAACTTGTACCACAGGCACGCTCGTGTCTTGATCCACAAGTATCGCTTGAACAGTCAAGTGGAGAGGAAAAGTGACCTCACAAACAGGTCAGCGGGTCAAATGTCCAAAGTAAGAGAGAGAGAGAGAGAGAGAGAGAGAGGCACAGGTGGATTCTTACAGCATTTCACCCTAGTAGTGAAATAGCGGCTCGTGTGCTGTGCCGCCTTCATTGTAGTAAGAGCGACACTCGGCCTCGCCTCCTTTACCATAGCATTCTACTGCGACATCGCGCATAGGAGATAAATGACGTCAGTGTGTAATAACCGGTTGTGATCTCTTGCTGAACCGATAAAAATAATTTTGACACCCCTAGTAACGAGTAACGACGCAGCACATAAAGAATCTATCGGAGTATTAAACTCATCGAAAATATGTACTGAAGTAAAAGTGGAAGGAGGAGTAAAAAAACAATACTCCAGTAGAGTACAGATACAGCCTTTTAGTACTTAAGTACAGTAGTGAAGTAGTTCTACTTCGTTGATATACATCTCTAGGAAACTTGTTCAAGTAAAGCTTGTAGCAAGGCTCCAACGTTAAATTGACCTTTTCTGTGAGGCAAAACATCCACAATCCAACGTGGTTATAGCATGACTTATTGACCAGTCTAACATATATACATTACTAGGCTGACAGGGTCATCAGCTGGGGGAAAATGTACAGGCCAGACGTTGGTCCTTTTAAAAACCACTGTGGGCCAGACACTGTGATGTTGAACTAGGGTGGCTATATAATAGTTGATTTCTACGTTACGCTAAACGATAGCGCTACGATAAGCTAAACAAAACAGCATAGCACTGGAATAAATGAGTGTACAGAGAAACATAGAGGTTCTACAGAGGGTCTATTGACCTTATTCTAAAATGCGGAAGTGCGCCTGTTTTCACGATTGTTTCAGAACTTCCGCATCAGTCGCCTATGGGAAAAATGACTAGGAATAATAAACGGCAGAAAACGGTCAAACTACTTACTCTACAAACAAATGTTTGCATTACTATACCGACTAAGTAGAATAATATAATAGGAAAATATCAGTTTGCAACTGATACAACGAGACCGGAAGTCTTGAGCCAAAAAGATTCAAATGGCTGCGCCCGCTCGTCGGCAAAGAATAACGTGAATAGTCCTATTGTGGTTCAGGTTCAGACTAGGCTTTACATGCTTCTTGACCTTTGATGGTGAGTTAAAAGGCATCCAGATGAAAATCGCAATGATGAGCTATCTGGCTAGACTTTCCCCAACGCCTACTGCAGTTACGATCAGGTTACTTGCACACACTGCAACCAGATGCAAACTCTCAAACAGTATGGGCCTCTAGCACAACACGTAACACTCAATGAGGTCACCGACCACTTGGCACGATTCAAAATTGGGTTTCGCCTGAAGATTCCGGTGCCACTCTAGGCCCACAGTGTTTTCCCCACCATTATATTGGGGGGGGGGCTTCCCGCCCCCCTTGAGGTCAAGTTAATTGTATTTTATACATAGCACCAGATCACAACTTCTTTTAATAAACGAGCTAAATAGCCGTATGTAATGTCTTATTTACACAACGGCATGTGATTTCGGTCTCTACATGGTCGCTCCATTACATATTTCTGCTCTCTGAATCGCCCACAGTGGAGTTCTACACAGCCACTGTATGCTGAATGGGAATGAAACTGTGTGCCACGTTTGACAGGACCCAAGACGCACGTGCACTTACGTATATTATGCATAGCCTGCAGCAGCCAAAACAAAGGTAAAAGATGGCCCAATCCCAATTTTATTTTTTTGTACCCCTACCCCTTCCCCCTGGCCCTTAAAACCGAGGGTGAAGGGGAAGGGCTTCAAAACGTATCCCTAAGAATTGGGACAGCACTACAGCACCTGCACTCGTCATCATATGTCATCGCCATCTCTGATACGATATGAGATTAGAAAATATGAGATTAGACGATCGCGACTGCTGTAGTTATTCCAGTCGAGTTATTTATTGGTATTTATCTTCAGGAAATCACTGAAGGCATATGTTGTGTTATCATAACGGTCTGATGCGACACTAAGATCATAATACTGCGCATTTAACACAGTGGCCATATTTATCTATGTAAACACAGCAAAAACAACATTAACATTATAGCAGACACCGTAAAAAGCCCAATCCTGGCCATTAGACTTTTCGACAGAGTATTCGAGTGTCATCGAGTGACAGAATGCTGTGGGACTGCTATACAGGAGTTATGATTATGGACTATAGATTGCGAAATTTACCGGTTTTTATTTTAGCGGGGGTTTTTTTTAAAGCATGACGGTAAAACACCTACGTCGTCAGGAATATATTCAAACATGTGTTTGTCTCTTGTAAACATTTGTAATTTGTAACAACAAAATACTAATTTGTGGATCTCCTTACTTCCGGGTGTAACTATCTGCCGTTGTGGCTGGTGTGTTCTGGGAAATTTTATGATCCCTTGGTTTCGAGTGTGGTCCTGAAAAATCTTTGTTCGAAGGGCTATTCACCCCTTCCCCTTAGCCCTACGCCTTCAAGCTAAAGAGAATTGGGACACCCCTACCCCTTGACGCGCAAAACGAGGGGAAGGGGCAAGGGGAAGGGCTACGGGGTAGAATTGGGAGTGGGCCAACGTGTGGGGGCGTAAGTAATGTGCTCGGTCGCAGCAGCTAAAGTATATACAGATGCGATGGGACCTCTGTTTAGTTCATTAGCGTGACCCGCGCGAGTGATGCATGCTTTGTTGCAAGTGCAGTCATTGTATCTCCAGTGTTTTGAGCTGCTGTGACGCGTTCTCCCCCATCCTGCGTCTCATCCAACCTGACCTCTCCCGGAAGCTCCGCGAGTCTCCCGCAAATTTATACCGGCCCTGTGATCCCCCAAAATAAGTTATAATACTCGGAAATCACAGCGACGAGAGTGAATGTGCAAGACAACAGATCGCGAGAGGCACAGTATTGTTCTAAGCATTAATTGAATAGAGCAGTAAAGATATCGCGAGTGCAAATCCCTCTATCTCTGAGTGATCTGCTGTTATTAGTTGGAGACCAGCAAAACATTTGAACGGTCCTGCATGTATTTAGGCCTCTTTACATATATAACAATTGAAAGTTCTGTTTTGACTATATTGCAAGTTCACTAAAAGCTGGCTGGAACTATTAGATACAATTTGTTTTGTTTTTTTACATGAATATTTAATTATATACATTTTTGTAATACACTCATTGCTATAAACAGTAGTTTATAGACCTCTTTCCTTTTAGTAAAGAAGTTTTAGTCTCATTGGTGTGCATTTTAATTTTAATGCATCAAACATACGCTCCAAACTTGTTCTTGGTTGATTCATGTTGAATTCTTCTTTTATCATTTGCAGTGTTTCCAAAATGCATTGTAATTTTTCATCACAATTTTTATATCTGTGTTATATTATTTTCTGTGGCGGTTTATTCCGCTGTGGTGACCCCTGATAACCAAGGGACTACGCCAGAGTAAAATTAATGGATGAACTATTTCTTATAAAGCTGCTTCTGGCCATGACACGCTCACACCTGGTTATAAGATGGTTATAAGAGACGTGTTTAAGGTATAATATGCAGCATCCTTCATTTGTTCTCTTAGGTAAGGCTAGATCTTCTCTTAAGGTTCATACTTAGAGGAAGATGTGCTCAAAGCATTATAAAGCTTGAAGCATTAGAATCGGTGTTCAGTATTAGCCGATCACCATGACAAGAAATGGGTACTCAATGATATCAGCTGCAAAAATCCTGATCGGAGCAGCCCTAGCTTTAACCCAACTTGGCTGTCAGAGCAGCAATACTCCCCCTGGCTCCACAAGACTGATCTTGGTAAGTCAGTAAATACACCCTTAGGAAAAAGAAGTATACTTAAGTAAAGGTCAAGTATAAAAGTATACTTTATTTAGTAAGTAATTAACCCCAAGAAACCCTGCAATGACAAAAGCTGCCCACTTTGTGGAAAAAAAAAAAAAACGATATAAAAATAAATTAACATTTTTAGCCAGTACAGTTGTACACTTCAAATAATTTTTTGTTTATTTATTTATTTATTTTTTACTGCTGTCGTTAAAAGAAACAAATTTACACCTCGACTCTTTGGCTGCACTTACACTGCAGATCTTGATGGTTACTTCCGATTTTGTGACTGTATCTGATTTTTTTGATGACCTGCTAATATAATCTTTTAAAAGTGACTCGTTTCCGATCGCCTACATTTACAGAGCACACGGCAAAGACGCAATTAGCTGAAAAAAAAGAGCGGGCGCTGACTAACAGCTGATAATTTAAGAGTGCTCTTTTCCCTATTCCTGTATGGAATCTGTTCGCAGCTTTTTACAAGCTGTTTTACTATAGTTTATGACAGAAAGGTTCTCATTTGTCCATTTTCTTTTAATATATGCCTTTTTTAAACCTTTAGGCATCTTAATGTAATGTCCCATACGAGATTTATGCACGTGATGTAGCTATGCACCAGTTTTATATTAGTTTATATTGGTTACATAGCGGACATTCCACTCTCATGCTTAAATGCCTGTGCTATATGACAAAATAAAAGCTGTTTAAGTCCTCGTGTATGAGATTTAAGGTTTGGGATTCTGCTGAAGTCTGTCCTGAAAAAAAAGTGTCAGACTTGACGTCATTCGCTACGATTTTTATTGATGCACGACTCTCATTGACAGGTGAAAATCTGATCACCCTGCTTAAACTGCAGACACGAAAACAGAGATCCGATTCATATCGGATAAATTTCCACATATGAACAAGCCCTGAATCTGATTTGAGTAAATCGGAATCCATGTGATTTATTCCTGCTCACAAGTACATGGGCCATATCAGATCTGTGCCACATGGAAGAAAACAATCGGAATTGAGTCACTTGAACAGTGCAGTGTAAATGCGGCCTTTGTGTCGGTGTCAGTCCGAACAGATACGCCGCGCCACGCCGAGACGAGACCCCCCACCCTAAAACTGTAAACCTAGGGGAAACACTGGCCTTTAAAGTGAGGTTGCCAATCTCACTTAGGCGGGCACACGTGTGGAATCATGACAGGGTAATTAACCAAGATTGACCGAATGCCAGCTGACACGGTAGATCCTACTTGGAGTACGTTGTTGCTGATGCCTCACTGCGGTTTGCAATCCGAGTTACAAGGCCAAGGTATCTGACGTGTCCTCCAGCAGGGGTCAGCTTATGTCAGACAGATGAACCCAATCTTTTGATTTGCAAAATGGACAACCTGTACCATAACCACACAGACACAAGGCTATAAAAGCCTTAGATGAAGGCAGTACTTGTAAAATCTACTATTTTGGGCCAACCAATCTAAGTAAAAATCAACTTCTCATATCGTGTCGCAGTAACACTGATTTATGATATCTGACCATTACATTTAGATAGATTAGATAAACAACCATAAAATACGAGACGTCTCGCGAGACTACGGTCGACCAAAAGGTTCAAACGTTAGGCAGATTATCTAACAGAATATAGTCTAGAAATATGAAAAAACAGACGGCGCCTGGCCTCACTCTAGTTACAATAGTAAGGCCTTTAACAGATAGATTTGGAGGTTTTCCAAACTATCTCAGAAGCACTGAGGGAAATCGCTGTTCCGACAGGCGCGATAATATTTCAATCATTTGCATGACGTGCATCTTTGCAAAATCGATTTTGAATATTGTGAACTGCAGTTTAATAGTTACACTAACAGTAGTCATCTGTGTGCTAGGGAATGGCTGAAAGACGTGCGTCCTTCCAGCTGTGGAGAGACAGACAGCCAGCTGCATACACCTTTGGTCATGCTGGTGAGTACAATAAAATCACAGTGGAATAAAAAACTTTGCTTCACAGAAAACGTTTAAAATGACCGCCCGCATTCTCCACCATAATCTGTAGCGAAATTAGCTCAATTTCATGAATCTTAATGAGCAATAATAACCAGCTATCATCAATTATGAATACTCAGAATCAGAGATGTATAAACAGGGCTGAAAATTGCGACCATTTTGGTTGCATATGCGCCTGAAATTTTATTTATGCGACCTAAAAATATATTTGGGAGCATTTGTGCGAGTGCATAAAATTGTTGTGTGCGACCACTTTTTGCTGCAATATGTTCACCATATGCGCGGATTCCGAAGACATTTACGCAGAATGCATCTCTTCACTTGAAACGCGAAGCGCAGTGCTCAGGACTGGTTTAAAACCGTTGTCATATCAACTTGCTGCAGTAAACAAAGCAAAGTCCGTAATGCTTGCCCCGCCTCCGCGCTCTTCTTATAGGCCCACTGCTCTAGCATTGAAATATCAGCTGTCAATCACTCAGTCAATGCCTTCTGGCTTGGGATGACAGAGAGCACTACTACCGTGAAAAACGTAAAGCGCTGAAAATGACAATGAAGATAACACTGACAGATTTTGATTTTGAAACCATGCCATCTAAAGTTACAAATAATAACACATCTTAACAGTGATCGTGCTGAATGTTAATCCACCATCTACACTTTTCGAAGAGTGGATAAAAGACTTCAAGTCCGCTATGAAAAGTCTGTGGGATGAAATTTTCCGGTAACTGCGTGCCACATCTAGCACGAAAGCTTCTGTTTAATCCTTCATAAAATCGCCATAAGCTGTTCACCGTGCAAGTGGCAGCTATTTGTCAAATTTAACACCACGTACACCATCGCAAACAGGCTTACATTGAGTAAACTAATACCGCTACTCATGAAAAGACCGGTATCGCTACATGACGTATGCATAAAATAAGGTACAGTATATGTCAAAAACATCAGTGCAATATTAGACACGACCCGTGAGAACAGCACAGTTATATCAGTTACAGATTCAATAATGTCAAGCAGTGCGTGCAGGGCGGGTTTGCGGTCCCTGTATGCTTTGGTCACTCAGTTTTGTTATAAAAATCTATTTTCTTGTGATAACGGGATTTCGTTGAGACACATTTTCCTCACGCTTGCAAATTTGCATTTTTTTTTTTTTTTTTGCTTGTTAGTTTGATTACTGTTGATTTCAAATGCAATAAATATGTTTGTATAAAACTTTTAGTAACTGTGTTTATAAGTTAGACTAAATTTTGGTTGATGCGCCTACATTTTTAAAGTTAGGAGCACCAGTCTTACCCAGCAAAAAGGTTAATTTCGAACAATGATAAAGTACTAGAGACACAGACTTAGCTAAAACTACAAGTGCTCTTTAAAAAAAGTGACTTGAGTAGAAGTTGAAGTGCTCTTTAAGCACCATACTTAAGTGGAAGTATCAACACTTTTTGTACTTCAGTATTGCAAGTAGTTTATTTCAAAGTTTACTGCTCAAGTACTGAAATTAAAAATACATATTATGTATTGTGTAACGTCGTTATTAAAAAAAAAAGCAGTCAAAAGACACCATATTCTTTTGTTTAGTTTAAATATCTTTTGGGGGGGGGGGGCACGTGATTAAGCAGTATGAAAAGAAACATGGCTTACGATACTGTTTTTCTCTCGCGCTTGAATCACAGATCTGACAGATTATAACAGCTTTAACACACACCTTTTAAAGTTGTGTGTCACAAAAACACTCTGTAATCCACTCAAAACGCTATTGAAGCCCATTTTCGCATTGCAAATTACCAGTTGTAAACGCTGTAAGCGGATGTTCAAAACATTCTACCGGAAGACGCTGGTCGCTATGGCGCCCTCCATGCAGCAACCAAGAAAAAGGTCTATAAATGTAACGAGTAGGGGTGTGAATCTACACTGGTCTGACGGGTTGGTTCGGTTATGATTATCATGCCATCGATTCGGTTCATTTCGATATCTCGGTGGATTGACGATGCTTTCCATACATAATTCTATTTTTTCTTCACAACACAAGATTTTTTTTTTTTGATCAAAATCTATAAATATATTTATATATATTGTTTGTAATACAATTTTGTTCTTTAATACAGCAGACCCTTAATTTGACCTGCTCAAAGACAACACTCTTTCTGAAAGTATCAAACAAAACTCCAACACATGCACAGAAGACAGCGTGAGCATTTATAGCTAATAAACTAATGTAAATATCATCCTGCTTGCTTTTAGAGCGCTGACAGGCGAGGTCTAACACCCCTATGATTGGTTATTGTCTTACCCTGCTCAACAGAAAGGGCTGCGATCGGCTTTAGAAATTAAATCGCTGTTTACCGATGGCGTGAAAAAACTGCTACGGTTACACTCTATATGCGCATAATACGCGCATATCACAGGTAATCCGTGAAAGAAACAGTGGAGAAAACTTGTACCACAGGCACGCTCGTGTCTTGATCCACAAGTATCGCTTGAACAGTCAAGTGGAGAGGAAAAGTGACCTCACAAACAGGTCAGCGGGTCAAATGTCCAAAGTAAGAGAGAGAGAGAGAGAGAGAGAGAGAGGCACAGGTGGATTCTTACAGCATTTCACCCTAGTAGTGAAATAGCGGCTCGTGTGCTGTGCCGCCTTCATTGTAGTAAGAGCGACACTCGGCCTCGCCTCCTTTACCATAGCATTCTACTGCGACATCGCGCATAGGAGATAAATGACGTCAGTGTGTAATAACCGGTTGTGATCTCTTGCTGAACCGATAAAAATAATTTTGACACCCCTAGTAACGAGTAACGACGCAGCACATAAAGAATCTATCGGAGTATTAAACTCATCGAAAATATGTACTGAAGTAAAAGTGGAAGGAGGAGTAAAAAAACAATACTCCAGTAGAGTACAGATACAGCCTTTTAGTACTTAAGTACAGTAGTGAAGTAGTTCTACTTCGTTGATATACATCTCTAGGAAACTTGTTCAAGTAAAGCTTGTAGCAAGGCTCCAATGTTAAATTGACCTTTTCTGTGAGGCAAAACATCCACAATCCAACGTGGTTATAGCATGACTTATTGACCAGTCTAACATATATACATTACTAGGCTGACAGGGTCATCAGCTGGGGGAAAATGTACAGGCCAGACGTTGGTCCTTTTAAAAACCACTGTGGGCCAGACACTGTGATGTTGAACTAGGGTGGCTATATAATAGTTGATTTCTACGTTACGCTAAACGATAGCGCTACGATAAGCTAAACAAAACAGCATAGCACTGGAATAAATGAGTGTACAGAGAAACATAGAGGTTCTACAGAGGGTCTATTGACCTTATTCTAAAATGCGGAAGTGCGCCTGTTTTCACGATTGTTTCAGAACTTCCGCATCAGTCGCCTATGGGAAAAATGACTAGGAATAATAAACGGCAGAAAACGGTCAAACTACTTACTCTACAAACAAATGTTTGCATTACTAAACCGACTAAGTAGAATAATATAATAGGAAAATATCAGTTTGCAACTGATACAACGAGACCGGAAGTCTTGAGCCAAAAAGATTCAAATGGCTGCGCCCACTCGTCGGCAAAGAATAACGTGAATAGTCCTATTGTGGTTCAGGTTCAGACTAGGCTTTACATGCTTCTTGACCTTTGATGGTGAGTTAAAAGGCATCCAGATGAAAATCGCAATGATGAGCTATCTGGCTAGACTTTCCCCAACGCCTACTGCAGTTACGATCAGGTTACTTGCACACACTGCAACCAGATGCAAACTCTCAAACAGTATGGGCCTCTAGCACAACACGTAACACTCAATGAGGTCACCGACCACTTGGCACGATTCAAAATTGGGTTTCGCCTGAAGATTCCGGTGCCACTCTAGGCCCACAGTGTTTTCCCCACCATTATATTGGGGGGGGGGCTTCCCGCCCCCCTTGAGGTCAAGTTAATTGTATTTTATACATAGCACCAGATCACAACTTCTTTTAATAAACGAGCTAAATAGCCGTATGTAATGTCTTATTTACACAACGGCATGTGATTTCGGTCTCTACATGGTCGCTCCATTACATATTTCTGCTCTCTGAATCGCCCACAGTGGAGTTCTACACAGCCACTGTATGCTGAATGGGAATGAAACTGTGTGCCACGTTTGACAGGACCCAAGACGCACGTGCACTTACGTATATTATGCATAGCCTGCAGCAGCCAAAACAAAGGTAAAAGATGGCCCAATCCCAATTTTATTTTTTTGTACCCCTACCCCTTCCCCCTGGCCCTTAAAACCGAGGGTGAAGGGGAAGGGCTTCAAAACGTACCCCTAAGAATTGGGACAGCACTACAGCACCTGCACTCGTCATCATATGTCATCGCCATCTCTGATACGATATGAGATTAGAAAATATGAGATTAGACGATCGCGACTGCTGTAGTTATTCCAGTCGAGTTATTTATTGGTATTTATCTTCAGGAAATCACTGAAGGCATATGTTGTGTTATCATAACGGTCTGATGCGACACTAAGATCATAATACTGCGCATTTAACACAGTGGCCATATTTATCTATGTAAACACAGCAAAAACAACATTAACATTATAGCAGACACCGTAAAAAGCCCAATCCTGGCCATTAGACTTTTCGACAGAGTATTCGAGTGTCATCGAGTGACAGAATGCTGTGGGACTGCTATACAGGAGTTATGATTATGGACTATAGATTGCGAAATTTACCGGTTTTTATTTTAGCGGGGGTTTTTTTTAAAGCATGACGGTAAAACACCTACGTCGTCAGGAATATATTCAAACATGTGTTTGTCTCTTGTAAACATTTGTAATTTGTAACAACAAAATACTAATTTGTGGATCTCCTTACTTCCGGGTGTAACTATCTGCCGTTGTGGCTGGTGTGTTCTGGGAAATTTTATGATCCCTTGGTTTCGAGTGTGGTCCTGAAAAATCTTTGTTCGAAGGGCTATTCACCCCTTCCCCTTAGCCCTACGCCTTCAAGCTAAAGAGAATTGGGACACCCCTACCCCTTGACGCGCAAAACGAGGGGAAGGGGCAAGGGGAAGGGCTACGGGGTAGAATTGGGAGTGGGCCAACGTGTGGGGGCGTAAGTAATGTGCTCGGTCGCAGCAGCTAAAGTATATACAGATGCGATGGGACCTCTGTTTAGTTCATTAGCGTGACCCGCGCGAGTGATGCATGCTTTGTTGCAAGTGCAGTCATTGTATCTCCAGTGTTTTGAGCTGCTGTGACGCGTTCTCCCCCATCCTGCGTCTCATCCAACCTGACCTCTCCCGGAAGCTCCGCGAGTCTCCCGCAAATTTATACCGGCCCTGTGATCCCCCAAAATAAGTTATAATACTCGGAAATCACAGCGACGAGAGTGAATGTGCAAGACAACAGATCGCGAGAGGCACAGTATTGTTCTAAGCATTAATTGAATAGAGCAGTAAAGATATCGCGAGTGCAAATCCCTCTATCTCTGAGTGATCTGCTGTTATTAGTTGGAGACCAGCAAAACATTTGAACGGTCCTGCATGTATTTAGGCCTCTTTACATATATAACAATTGAAAGTTCTGTTTTGACTATATTGCAAGTTCACTAAAAGCTGGCTGGAACTATTAGATACAATTTGTTTTGTTTTTTTACATGAATATTTAATTATATACATTTTTGTAATACACTCATTGCTATAAACAGTAGTTTATAGACCTCTTTCCTTTTAGTAAAGAAGTTTTAGTCTCATTGGTGTGCATTTTAATTTTAATGCATCAAACATACGCTCCAAACTTGTTCTTGGTTGATTCATGTTGAATTCTTCTTTTATCATTTGCAGTGTTTCCAAAATGCATTGTAATTTTTCATCACAATTTTTATATCTGTGTTATATTATTTTCTGTGGCGGTTTATTCCGCTGTGGTGACCCCTGATAACCAAGGGACTACGCCAGAGTAAAATTAATGGATGAACTATTTCTTATAAAGCTGCTTCTGGCCATGACACGCTCACACCTGGTTATAAGATGGTTATAAGAGACGTGTTTAAGGTATAATATGCAGCATCCTTCATTTGTTCTCTTAGGTAAGGCTAGATCTTCTCTTAAGGTTCATACTTAGAGGAAGATGTGCTCAAAGCATTATAAAGCTTGAAGCATTAGAATCGGTGTTCAGTATTAGCCGATCACCATGACAAGAAATGGGTACTCAATGATATCAGCTGCAAAAATCCTGATCGGAGCAGCCCTAGCTTTAACCCAACTTGGCTGTCAGAGCAGCAATACTCCCCCTGGCTCCACAAGACTGATCTTGGTAAGTCAGTAAATACACCCTTAGGAAAAAGAAGTATACTTAAGTAAAGGTCAAGTATAAAAGTATACTTTATTTAGCAAGTAATTAACCCCAAGAAACACTGCAATGACAAAAGCTGCCCACTTTGTGGAAAAAAAAAAAAAACGATATAAAAATAAATTAACATTTTTAGCCAGTACAGTTGTACACTTCAAATAATTTTTTGTTTATTTATTTTTTTTTTTTTACTGCTGTCGTTAAAAGAAACAAATTTACACCTCGACTCTTTGGCTGCACTTACACTGCAGATCTTGATGGTTACTTCCGATTTTGTGACTGTATCTGATTTTTTTGATGACCTGCTAATATAATCTTTTAAAAGTGACTCGTTTCCGATCGCCTACATTTACAGAGCACACGGCAAAGACGCAATTAGCTGAAAAAAAAAGAGCGGGCGCTGACTAACAGCTGATAATTTAAGAGTGCTCTTTTCCCTATTCCTGTATGGAATCTGTTCGCAGCTTTTTACAAGCTGTTTTACTATAGTTTATGACAGAAAGGTTCTCATTTGTCCATTTTCTTTTAATATATGCCTTTTTTAAACCTTTAGGCATCTTAATGTAATGTCCCATACGAGATTTATGCACGTGATGTAGCTATGCACCAGTTTTATATTAGTTTATATTGGTTACATAGCGGACATTCCACTCTCATGCTTAAATGCCTGTGCTATATGACAAAATAAAAGCTGTTTAAGTCCTCGTGTATGAGATTTAAGGTTTGGGATTCTGCTGAAGTCTGTCCTGAAAAAAAAGTGTCAGACTTGACGTCATTCGCTACGATTTTTATTGATGCACGACTCTCATTGACAGGTGAAAATCTGATCACCCTGCTTAAACTGCAGACACGAAAACAGAGATCCGATTCATATCGGATAAATTTCCACATATGAACAAGCCCTGAATCTGATTTGAGTAAATCGGAATCCATGTGATTTATTCCTGCTCACAAGTACATGGGCCATATCAGATCTGTGCCACATGGAAGAAAACAATCGGAATTGAGTCACTTGAACAGTGCAGTGTAAATGCGGCCTTTGTGTCGGTGTCAGTCCGAACAGATACGCCGCGCCACGCCGAGACGAGACCCCCCACCCTAAAACTGTAAACCTAGGGGAAACACTGGCCTTTAAAGTGAGGTTGCCAATCTCACTTAGGCGGGCACACGTGTGGAATCATGACAGGGTAATTAACCAAGATTGACCGAATGCCAGCTGACACGGTAGATCCTACTTGGAGTACGTTGTTGCTGATGCCTCACTGCGGTTTGCAATCCGAGTTACAAGGCCAAGGTATCTGACGTGTCCTCCAGCAGGGGTCAGCTTATGTCAGACAGATGAACCCAATCTTTTGATTTGCAAAATGGACAACCTGTACCATAACCACACAGACACAAGGCTATAAAAGCCTTAGATGAAGGCAGTACTTGTAAAATCTACTATTTTGGGCCAACCAATCTAAGTAAAAATCAACTTCTCATATCGTGTCGCAGTAACACTGATTTATGATATCTGACCATTACATTTAGATAGATTAGATAAACAACCATAAAATACGAGACGTCTCGCGAGACTACGGTCGACCAAAAGGTTCAAACGTTAGGCAGATTATCTAACAGAATATAGTCTAGAAATATGAAAAAACAGACGGCGCCTGGCCTCACTCTAGTTACAATAGTAAGGCCTTTAACAGATAGATTTGGAGGTTTTCCAAACTATCTCAGAAGCACTGAGGGAAATCGCTGTTCCGACAGGCGCGATAATATTTCAATCATTTGCATGACGTGCATCTTTGCAAAATCGATTTTGAATATTGTGAACTGCAGTTTAATAGTTACACTAACAGTAGTCATCTGTGTGCTAGGGAATGGCTGAAAGACGTGCGTCCTTCCAGCTGTGGAGAGACAGACAGCCAGCTGCATACACCTTTGGTCATGCTGGTGAGTACAATAAAATCACAGTGGAATAAAAAACTTTGCTTCACAGAAAACGTTTAAAATGACCGCCCGCATTCTCCACCATAATCTGTAGCGAAATTAGCTCAATTTCATGAATCTTAATGAGCAATAATAACCAGCTATCATCAATTATGAATACTCAGAATCAGAGATGTATAAACAGGGCTGAAAATTGCGACCATTTTGGTTGCATATGCGCCTGAAATTTTATTTATGCGACCTAAAAATATATTTGGGAGCATTTGTGCGAGTGCATAAAATTGTTGTGTGCGACCACTTTTTGCTGCAATATGTTCACCATATGCGCGGATTCCGAAGACATTTACGCAGAATGCATCTCTTCACTTGAAACGCGAAGCGCAGTGCTCAGGACTGGTTTAAAACCGTTGTCATATCAACTTGCTGCAGTAAACAAAGCAAAGTCCGTAATGCTTGCCCCGCCTCCGCGCTCTTCTTATAGGCCCACTGCTCTAGCATTGAAATATCAGCTGTCAATCACTCAGTCAATGCCTTCTGGCTTGGGATGACAGAGAGCACTACTACCGTGAAAAACGTAAAGCGCTGAAAATGACAATGAAGATAACACTGACAGATTTTGATTTTGAAACCATGCCATCTAAAGTTACAAATAATAACACATCTTAACAGTGATCGTGCTGAATGTTAATCCACCATCTACACTTTTCGAAGAGTGGATAAAAGACTTCAAGTCCGCTATGAAAAGTCTGTGGGATGAAATTTTCCGGTAACTGCGTGCCACATCTAGCACGAAAGCTTCTGTTTAATCCTTCATAAAATCGCCATAAGCTGTTCACCGTGCAAGTGGCAGCTATTTGTCAAATTTAACACCACGTACACCATCGCAAACAGGCTTACATTGAGTAAACTAATACCGCTACTCATGAAAAGACCGGTATCGCTACATGACGTATGCATAAAATAAGGTACAGTATATGTCAAAAACATCAGTGCAATATTAGACACGACCCGTGAGAACAGCACAGTTATATCAGTTACAGATTCAATAATGTCAAGCAGTGCGTGCAGGGCGGGTTTGCGGTCCCTGTATGCTTTGGTCACTCAGTTTTGTTATAAAAATCTATTTTCTTGTGATAACGGGATTTCGTTGAGACACATTTTCCTCACGCTTGCAAATTTGCATTTTTTTTTTTTTTTTTGCTTGTTAGTTTGATTACTGTTGATTTCAAATGCAATAAATATGTTTGTATAAAACTTTTAGTAACTGTGTTTATAAGTTAGACTAAATTTTGGTTGATGCGCCTACATTTTTAAAGTTAGGAGCACCAGTCTTACCCAGCAAAAAGGTTAATTTCGAACAATGATAAAGTACTAGAGACACAGACTTAGCTAAAACTACAAGTGCTCTTTAAAAAAAGTGACTTGAGTAGAAGTTGAAGTGCTCTTTAAGCACCATACTTAAGTGGAAGTATCAACACTTTTTGTACTTCAGTATTGCAAGTAGTTTATTTCAAAGTTTACTGCTCAAGTACTGAAATTAAAAATACATATTATGTATTGTGTAACGTCGTTATTAAAAAAAAAAGCAGTCAAAAGACACCATATTCTTTTGTTTAGTTTAAATATCTTTTGGGGGGGGGGGGCACGTGATTAAGCAGTATGAAAAGAAACATGGCTTACGATACTGTTTTTCTCTCGCGCTTGAATCACAGATCTGACAGATTATAACAGCTTTAACACACACCTTTTAAAGTTGTGTGTCACAAAAACACTCTGTAATCCACTCAAAACGCTATTGAAGCCCATTTTCGCATTGCAAATTACCAGTTGTAAACGCTGTAAGCGGATGTTCAAAACATTCTACCGGAAGACGCTGGTCGCTATGGCGCCCTCCATGCAGCAACCAAGAAAAAGGTCTATAAATGTAACGAGTAGGGGTGTGAATCTACACTGGTCTGACGGGTTGGTTCGGTTATGATTATCATGCCATCGATTCGGTTCATTTCGATATCTCGGTGGATTGACGATGCTTTCCATACATAATTCTATTTTTTCTTCACAACACAAGATTTTTTTTTTTTGATCAAAATCTATAAATATATTTATATATATTGTTTGTAATACAATTTTGTTCTTTAATACAGCAGACCCTTAATTTGACCTGCTCAAAGACAACACTCTTTCTGAAAGTATCAAACAAAACTCCAACACATGCACAGAAGACAGCGTGAGCATTTATAGCTAATAAACTAATGTAAATATCATCCTGCTTGCTTTTAGAGCGCTGACAGGCGAGGTCTAACACCCCTATGATTGGTTATTGTCTTACCCTGCTCAACAGAAAGGGCTGCGATCGGCTTTAGAAATTAAATCGCTGTTTACCGATGGCGTGAAAAAACTGCTACGGTTACACTCTATATGCGCATAATACGCGCATATCACAGGTAATCCGTGAAAGAAACAGTGGAGAAAACTTGTACCACAGGCACGCTCGTGTCTTGATCCACAAGTATCGCTTGAACAGTCAAGTGGAGAGGAAAAGTGACCTCACAAACAGGTCAGCGGGTCAAATGTCCAAAGTAAGAGAGAGAGAGAGAGAGAGAGAGAGAGGCACAGGTGGATTCTTACAGCATTTCACCCTAGTAGTGAAATAGCGGCTCGTGTGCTGTGCCGCCTTCATTGTAGTAAGAGCGACACTCGGCCTCGCCTCCTTTACCATAGCATTCTACTGCGACATCGCGCATAGGAGATAAATGACGTCAGTGTGTAATAACCGGTTGTGATCTCTTGCTGAACCGATAAAAATAATTTTGACACCCCTAGTAACGAGTAACGACGCAGCACATAAAGAATCTATCGGAGTATTAAACTCATCGAAAATATGTACTGAAGTAAAAGTGGAAGGAGGAGTAAAAAAACAATACTCCAGTAGAGTACAGATACAGCCTTTTAGTACTTAAGTACAGTAGTGAAGTAGTTCTACTTCGTTGATATACATCTCTAGGAAACTTGTTCAAGTAAAGCTTGTAGCAAGGCTCCAATGTTAAATTGACCTTTTCTGTGAGGCAAAACATCCACAATCCAACGTGGTTATAGCATGACTTATTGACCAGTCTAACATATATACATTACTAGGCTGACAGGGTCATCAGCTGGGGGAAAATGTACAGGCCAGACGTTGGTCCTTTTAAAAACCACTGTGGGCCAGACACTGTGATGTTGAACTAGGGTGGCTATATAATAGTTGATTTCTACGTTACGCTAAACGATAGCGCTACGATAAGCTAAACAAAACAGCATAGCACTGGAATAAATGAGTGTACAGAGAAACATAGAGGTTCTACAGAGGGTCTATTGACCTTATTCTAAAATGCGGAAGTGCGCCTGTTTTCACGATTGTTTCAGAACTTCCGCATCAGTCGCCTATGGGAAAAATGACTAGGAATAATAAACGGCAGAAAACGGTCAAACTACTTACTCTACAAACAAATGTTTGCATTACTAAACCGACTAAGTAGAATAATATAATAGGAAAATATCAGTTTGCAACTGATACAACGAGACCGGAAGTCTTGAGCCAAAAAGATTCAAATGGCTGCGCCCACTCGTCGGCAAAGAATAACGTGAATAGTCCTATTGTGGTTCAGGTTCAGACTAGGCTTTACATGCTTCTTGACCTTTGATGGTGAGTTAAAAGGCATCCAGATGAAAATCGCAATGATGAGCTATCTGGCTAGACTTTCCCCAACGCCTACTGCAGTTACGATCAGGTTACTTGCACACACTGCAACCAGATGCAAACTCTCAAACAGTATGGGCCTCTAGCACAACACGTAACACTCAATGAGGTCACCGACCACTTGGCACGATTCAAAATTGGGTTTCGCCTGAAGATTCCGGTGCCACTCTAGGCCCACAGTGTTTTCCCCACCATTATATTGGGGGGGGGGCTTCCCGCCCCCCTTGAGGTCAAGTTAATTGTATTTTATACATAGCACCAGATCACAACTTCTTTTAATAAACGAGCTAAATAGCCGTATGTAATGTCTTATTTACACAACGGCATGTGATTTCGGTCTCTACATGGTCGCTCCATTACATATTTCTGCTCTCTGAATCGCCCACAGTGGAGTTCTACACAGCCACTGTATGCTGAATGGGAATGAAACTGTGTGCCACGTTTGACAGGACCCAAGACGCACGTGCACTTACGTATATTATGCATAGCCTGCAGCAGCCAAAACAAAGGTAAAAGATGGCCCAATCCCAATTTTATTTTTTTGTACCCCTACCCCTTCCCCCTGGCCCTTAAAACCGAGGGTGAAGGGGAAGGGCTTCAAAACGTACCCCTAAGAATTGGGACAGCACTACAGCACCTGCACTCGTCATCATATGTCATCGCCATCTCTGATACGATATGAGATTAGAAAATATGAGATTAGACGATCGCGACTGCTGTAGTTATTCCAGTCGAGTTATTTATTGGTATTTATCTTCAGGAAATCACTGAAGGCATATGTTGTGTTATCATAACGGTCTGATGCGACACTAAGATCATAATACTGCGCATTTAACACAGTGGCCATATTTATCTATGTAAACACAGCAAAAACAACATTAACATTATAGCAGACACCGTAAAAAGCCCAATCCTGGCCATTAGACTTTTCGACAGAGTATTCGAGTGTCATCGAGTGACAGAATGCTGTGGGACTGCTATACAGGAGTTATGATTATGGACTATAGATTGCGAAATTTACCGGTTTTTATTTTAGCGGGGGTTTTTTTTAAAGCATGACGGTAAAACACCTACGTCGTCAGGAATATATTCAAACATGTGTTTGTCTCTTGTAAACATTTGTAATTTGTAACAACAAAATACTAATTTGTGGATCTCCTTACTTCCGGGTGTAACTATCTGCCGTTGTGGCTGGTGTGTTCTGGGAAATTTTATGATCCCTTGGTTTCGAGTGTGGTCCTGAAAAATCTTTGTTCGAAGGGCTATTCACCCCTTCCCCTTAGCCCTACGCCTTCAAGCTAAAGAGAATTGGGACACCCCTACCCCTTGACGCGCAAAACGAGGGGAAGGGGCAAGGGGAAGGGCTACGGGGTAGAATTGGGAGTGGGCCAACGTGTGGGGGCGTAAGTAATGTGCTCGGTCGCAGCAGCTAAAGTATATACAGATGCGATGGGACCTCTGTTTAGTTCATTAGCGTGACCCGCGCGAGTGATGCATGCTTTGTTGCAAGTGCAGTCATTGTATCTCCAGTGTTTTGAGCTGCTGTGACGCGTTCTCCCCCATCCTGCGTCTCATCCAACCTGACCTCTCCCGGAAGCTCCGCGAGTCTCCCGCAAATTTATACCGGCCCTGTGATCCCCCAAAATAAGTTATAATACTCGGAAATCACAGCGACGAGAGTGAATGTGCAAGACAACAGATCGCGAGAGGCACAGTATTGTTCTAAGCATTAATTGAATAGAGCAGTAAAGATATCGCGAGTGCAAATCCCTCTATCTCTGAGTGATCTGCTGTTATTAGTTGGAGACCAGCAAAACATTTGAACGGTCCTGCATGTATTTAGGCCTCTTTACATATATAACAATTGAAAGTTCTGTTTTGACTATATTGCAAGTTCACTAAAAGCTGGCTGGAACTATTAGATACAATTTGTTTTGTTTTTTTACATGAATATTTAATTATATACATTTTTGTAATACACTCATTGCTATAAACAGTAGTTTATAGACCTCTTTCCTTTTAGTAAAGAAGTTTTAGTCTCATTGGTGTGCATTTTAATTTTAATGCATCAAACATACGCTCCAAACTTGTTCTTGGTTGATTCATGTTGAATTCTTCTTTTATCATTTGCAGTGTTTCCAAAATGCATTGTAATTTTTCATCACAATTTTTATATCTGTGTTATATTATTTTCTGTGGCGGTTTATTCCGCTGTGGTGACCCCTGATAACCAAGGGACTACGCCAGAGTAAAATTAATGGATGAACTATTTCTTATAAAGCTGCTTCTGGCCATGACACGCTCACACCTGGTTATAAGATGGTTATAAGAGACGTGTTTAAGGTATAATATGCAGCATCCTTCATTTGTTCTCTTAGGTAAGGCTAGATCTTCTCTTAAGGTTCATACTTAGAGGAAGATGTGCTCAAAGCATTATAAAGCTTGAAGCATTAGAATCGGTGTTCAGTATTAGCCGATCACCATGACAAGAAATGGGTACTCAATGATATCAGCTGCAAAAATCCTGATCGGAGCAGCCCTAGCTTTAACCCAACTTGGCTGTCAGAGCAGCAATACTCCCCCTGGCTCCACAAGACTGATCTTGGTAAGTCAGTAAATACACCCTTAGGAAAAAGAAGTATACTTAAGTAAAGGTCAAGTATAAAAGTATACTTTATTTAGCAAGTAATTAACCCCAAGAAACACTGCAATGACAAAAGCTGCCCACTTTGTGGAAAAAAAAAAAAAACGATATAAAAATAAATTAACATTTTTAGCCAGTACAGTTGTACACTTCAAATAATTTTTTGTTTATTTATTTTTTTTTTTTTACTGCTGTCGTTAAAAGAAACAAATTTACACCTCGACTCTTTGGCTGCACTTACACTGCAGATCTTGATGGTTACTTCCGATTTTGTGACTGTATCTGATTTTTTTGATGACCTGCTAATATAATCTTTTAAAAGTGACTCGTTTCCGATCGCCTACATTTACAGAGCACACGGCAAAGACGCAATTAGCTGAAAAAAAAAGAGCGGGCGCTGACTAACAGCTGATAATTTAAGAGTGCTCTTTTCCCTATTCCTGTATGGAATCTGTTCGCAGCTTTTTACAAGCTGTTTTACTATAGTTTATGACAGAAAGGTTCTCATTTGTCCATTTTCTTTTAATATATGCCTTTTTTAAACCTTTAGGCATCTTAATGTAATGTCCCATACGAGATTTATGCACGTGATGTAGCTATGCACCAGTTTTATATTAGTTTATATTGGTTACATAGCGGACATTCCACTCTCATGCTTAAATGCCTGTGCTATATGACAAAATAAAAGCTGTTTAAGTCCTCGTGTATGAGATTTAAGGTTTGGGATTCTGCTGAAGTCTGTCCTGAAAAAAAAGTGTCAGACTTGACGTCATTCGCTACGATTTTTATTGATGCACGACTCTCATTGACAGGTGAAAATCTGATCACCCTGCTTAAACTGCAGACACGAAAACAGAGATCCGATTCATATCGGATAAATTTCCACATATGAACAAGCCCTGAATCTGATTTGAGTAAATCGGAATCCATGTGATTTATTCCTGCTCACAAGTACATGGGCCATATCAGATCTGTGCCACATGGAAGAAAACAATCGGAATTGAGTCACTTGAACAGTGCAGTGTAAATGCGGCCTTTGTGTCGGTGTCAGTCCGAACAGATACGCCGCGCCACGCCGAGACGAGACCCCCCACCCTAAAACTGTAAACCTAGGGGAAACACTGGCCTTTAAAGTGAGGTTGCCAATCTCACTTAGGCGGGCACACGTGTGGAATCATGACAGGGTAATTAACCAAGATTGACCGAATGCCAGCTGACACGGTAGATCCTACTTGGAGTACGTTGTTGCTGATGCCTCACTGCGGTTTGCAATCCGAGTTACAAGGCCAAGGTATCTGACGTGTCCTCCAGCAGGGGTCAGCTTATGTCAGACAGATGAACCCAATCTTTTGATTTGCAAAATGGACAACCTGTACCATAACCACACAGACACAAGGCTATAAAAGCCTTAGATGAAGGCAGTACTTGTAAAATCTACTATTTTGGGCCAACCAATCTAAGTAAAAATCAACTTCTCATATCGTGTCGCAGTAACACTGATTTATGATATCTGACCATTACATTTAGATAGATTAGATAAACAACCATAAAATACGAGACGTCTCGCGAGACTACGGTCGACCAAAAGGTTCAAACGTTAGGCAGATTATCTAACAGAATATAGTCTAGAAATATGAAAAAACAGACGGCGCCTGGCCTCACTCTAGTTACAATAGTAAGGCCTTTAACAGATAGATTTGGAGGTTTTCCAAACTATCTCAGAAGCACTGAGGGAAATCGCTGTTCCGACAGGCGCGATAATATTTCAATCATTTGCATGACGTGCATCTTTGCAAAATCGATTTTGAATATTGTGAACTGCAGTTTAATAGTTACACTAACAGTAGTCATCTGTGTGCTAGGGAATGGCTGAAAGACGTGCGTCCTTCCAGCTGTGGAGAGACAGACAGCCAGCTGCATACACCTTTGGTCATGCTGGTGAGTACAATAAAATCACAGTGGAATAAAAAACTTTGCTTCACAGAAAACGTTTAAAATGACCGCCCGCATTCTCCACCATAATCTGTAGCGAAATTAGCTCAATTTCATGAATCTTAATGAGCAATAATAACCAGCTATCATCAATTATGAATACTCAGAATCAGAGATGTATAAACAGGGCTGAAAATTGCGACCATTTTGGTTGCATATGCGCCTGAAATTTTATTTATGCGACCTAAAAATATATTTGGGAGCATTTGTGCGAGTGCATAAAATTGTTGTGTGCGACCACTTTTTGCTGCAATATGTTCACCATATGCGCGGATTCCGAAGACATTTACGCAGAATGCATCTCTTCACTTGAAACGCGAAGCGCAGTGCTCAGGACTGGTTTAAAACCGTTGTCATATCAACTTGCTGCAGTAAACAAAGCAAAGTCCGTAATGCTTGCCCCGCCTCCGCGCTCTTCTTATAGGCCCACTGCTCTAGCATTGAAATATCAGCTGTCAATCACTCAGTCAATGCCTTCTGGCTTGGGATGACAGAGAGCACTACTACCGTGAAAAACGTAAAGCGCTGAAAATGACAATGAAGATAACACTGACAGATTTTGATTTTGAAACCATGCCATCTAAAGTTACAAATAATAACACATCTTAACAGTGATCGTGCTGAATGTTAATCCACCATCTACACTTTTCGAAGAGTGGATAAAAGACTTCAAGTCCGCTATGAAAAGTCTGTGGGATGAAATTTTCCGGTAACTGCGTGCCACATCTAGCACGAAAGCTTCTGTTTAATCCTTCATAAAATCGCCATAAGCTGTTCACCGTGCAAGTGGCAGCTATTTGTCAAATTTAACACCACGTACACCATCGCAAACAGGCTTACATTGAGTAAACTAATACCGCTACTCATGAAAAGACCGGTATCGCTACATGACGTATGCATAAAATAAGGTACAGTATATGTCAAAAACATCAGTGCAATATTAGACACGACCCGTGAGAACAGCACAGTTATATCAGTTACAGATTCAATAATGTCAAGCAGTGCGTGCAGGGCGGGTTTGCGGTCCCTGTATGCTTTGGTCACTCAGTTTTGTTATAAAAATCTATTTTCTTGTGATAACGGGATTTCGTTGAGACACATTTTCCTCACGCTTGCAAATTTGCATTTTTTTTTTTTTTTTTGCTTGTTAGTTTGATTACTGTTGATTTCAAATGCAATAAATATGTTTGTATAAAACTTTTAGTAACTGTGTTTATAAGTTAGACTAAATTTTGGTTGATGCGCCTACATTTTTAAAGTTAGGAGCACCAGTCTTACCCAGCAAAAAGGTTAATTTCGAACAATGATAAAGTACTAGAGACACAGACTTAGCTAAAACTACAAGTGCTCTTTAAAAAAAGTGACTTGAGTAGAAGTTGAAGTGCTCTTTAAGCACCATACTTAAGTGGAAGTATCAACACTTTTTGTACTTCAGTATTGCAAGTAGTTTATTTCAAAGTTTACTGCTCAAGTACTGAAATTAAAAATACATATTATGTATTGTGTAACGTCGTTATTAAAAAAAAAAGCAGTCAAAAGACACCATATTCTTTTGTTTAGTTTAAATATCTTTTGGGGGGGGGGGGCACGTGATTAAGCAGTATGAAAAGAAACATGGCTTACGATACTGTTTTTCTCTCGCGCTTGAATCACAGATCTGACAGATTATAACAGCTTTAACACACACCTTTTAAAGTTGTGTGTCACAAAAACACTCTGTAATCCACTCAAAACGCTATTGAAGCCCATTTTCGCATTGCAAATTACCAGTTGTAAACGCTGTAAGCGGATGTTCAAAACATTCTACCGGAAGACGCTGGTCGCTATGGCGCCCTCCATGCAGCAACCAAGAAAAAGGTCTATAAATGTAACGAGTAGGGGTGTGAATCTACACTGGTCTGACGGGTTGGTTCGGTTATGATTATCATGCCATCGATTCGGTTCATTTCGATATCTCGGTGGATTGACGATGCTTTCCATACATAATTCTATTTTTTCTTCACAACACAAGATTTTTTTTTTTTGATCAAAATCTATAAATATATTTATATATATTGTTTGTAATACAATTTTGTTCTTTAATACAGCAGACCCTTAATTTGACCTGCTCAAAGACAACACTCTTTCTGAAAGTATCAAACAAAACTCCAACACATGCACAGAAGACAGCGTGAGCATTTATAGCTAATAAACTAATGTAAATATCATCCTGCTTGCTTTTAGAGCGCTGACAGGCGAGGTCTAACACCCCTATGATTGGTTATTGTCTTACCCTGCTCAACAGAAAGGGCTGCGATCGGCTTTAGAAATTAAATCGCTGTTTACCGATGGCGTGAAAAAACTGCTACGGTTACACTCTATATGCGCATAATACGCGCATATCACAGGTAATCCGTGAAAGAAACAGTGGAGAAAACTTGTACCACAGGCACGCTCGTGTCTTGATCCACAAGTATCGCTTGAACAGTCAAGTGGAGAGGAAAAGTGACCTCACAAACAGGTCAGCGGGTCAAATGTCCAAAGTAAGAGAGAGAGAGAGAGAGAGAGAGAGAGGCACAGGTGGATTCTTACAGCATTTCACCCTAGTAGTGAAATAGCGGCTCGTGTGCTGTGCCGCCTTCATTGTAGTAAGAGCGACACTCGGCCTCGCCTCCTTTACCATAGCATTCTACTGCGACATCGCGCATAGGAGATAAATGACGTCAGTGTGTAATAACCGGTTGTGATCTCTTGCTGAACCGATAAAAATAATTTTGACACCCCTAGTAACGAGTAACGACGCAGCACATAAAGAATCTATCGGAGTATTAAACTCATCGAAAATATGTACTGAAGTAAAAGTGGAAGGAGGAGTAAAAAAACAATACTCCAGTAGAGTACAGATACAGCCTTTTAGTACTTAAGTACAGTAGTGAAGTAGTTCTACTTCGTTGATATACATCTCTAGGAAACTTGTTCAAGTAAAGCTTGTAGCAAGGCTCCAATGTTAAATTGACCTTTTCTGTGAGGCAAAACATCCACAATCCAACGTGGTTATAGCATGACTTATTGACCAGTCTAACATATATACATTACTAGGCTGACAGGGTCATCAGCTGGGGGAAAATGTACAGGCCAGACGTTGGTCCTTTTAAAAACCACTGTGGGCCAGACACTGTGATGTTGAACTAGGGTGGCTATATAATAGTTGATTTCTACGTTACGCTAAACGATAGCGCTACGATAAGCTAAACAAAACAGCATAGCACTGGAATAAATGAGTGTACAGAGAAACATAGAGGTTCTACAGAGGGTCTATTGACCTTATTCTAAAATGCGGAAGTGCGCCTGTTTTCACGATTGTTTCAGAACTTCCGCATCAGTCGCCTATGGGAAAAATGACTAGGAATAATAAACGGCAGAAAACGGTCAAACTACTTACTCTACAAACAAATGTTTGCATTACTAAACCGACTAAGTAGAATAATATAATAGGAAAATATCAGTTTGCAACTGATACAACGAGACCGGAAGTCTTGAGCCAAAAAGATTCAAATGGCTGCGCCCACTCGTCGGCAAAGAATAACGTGAATAGTCCTATTGTGGTTCAGGTTCAGACTAGGCTTTACATGCTTCTTGACCTTTGATGGTGAGTTAAAAGGCATCCAGATGAAAATCGCAATGATGAGCTATCTGGCTAGACTTTCCCCAACGCCTACTGCAGTTACGATCAGGTTACTTGCACACACTGCAACCAGATGCAAACTCTCAAACAGTATGGGCCTCTAGCACAACACGTAACACTCAATGAGGTCACCGACCACTTGGCACGATTCAAAATTGGGTTTCGCCTGAAGATTCCGGTGCCACTCTAGGCCCACAGTGTTTTCCCCACCATTATATTGGGGGGGGGGCTTCCCGCCCCCCTTGAGGTCAAGTTAATTGTATTTTATACATAGCACCAGATCACAACTTCTTTTAATAAACGAGCTAAATAGCCGTATGTAATGTCTTATTTACACAACGGCATGTGATTTCGGTCTCTACATGGTCGCTCCATTACATATTTCTGCTCTCTGAATCGCCCACAGTGGAGTTCTACACAGCCACTGTATGCTGAATGGGAATGAAACTGTGTGCCACGTTTGACAGGACCCAAGACGCACGTGCACTTACGTATATTATGCATAGCCTGCAGCAGCCAAAACAAAGGTAAAAGATGGCCCAATCCCAATTTTATTTTTTTGTACCCCTACCCCTTCCCCCTGGCCCTTAAAACCGAGGGTGAAGGGGAAGGGCTTCAAAACGTACCCCTAAGAATTGGGACAGCACTACAGCACCTGCACTCGTCATCATATGTCATCGCCATCTCTGATACGATATGAGATTAGAAAATATGAGATTAGACGATCGCGACTGCTGTAGTTATTCCAGTCGAGTTATTTATTGGTATTTATCTTCAGGAAATCACTGAAGGCATATGTTGTGTTATCATAACGGTCTGATGCGACACTAAGATCATAATACTGCGCATTTAACACAGTGGCCATATTTATCTATGTAAACACAGCAAAAACAACATTAACATTATAGCAGACACCGTAAAAAGCCCAATCCTGGCCATTAGACTTTTCGACAGAGTATTCGAGTGTCATCGAGTGACAGAATGCTGTGGGACTGCTATACAGGAGTTATGATTATGGACTATAGATTGCGAAATTTACCGGTTTTTATTTTAGCGGGGGTTTTTTTTAAAGCATGACGGTAAAACACCTACGTCGTCAGGAATATATTCAAACATGTGTTTGTCTCTTGTAAACATTTGTAATTTGTAACAACAAAATACTAATTTGTGGATCTCCTTACTTCCGGGTGTAACTATCTGCCGTTGTGGCTGGTGTGTTCTGGGAAATTTTATGATCCCTTGGTTTCGAGTGTGGTCCTGAAAAATCTTTGTTCGAAGGGCTATTCACCCCTTCCCCTTAGCCCTACGCCTTCAAGCTAAAGAGAATTGGGACACCCCTACCCCTTGACGCGCAAAACGAGGGGAAGGGGCAAGGGGAAGGGCTACGGGGTAGAATTGGGAGTGGGCCAACGTGTGGGGGCGTAAGTAATGTGCTCGGTCGCAGCAGCTAAAGTATATACAGATGCGATGGGACCTCTGTTTAGTTCATTAGCGTGACCCGCGCGAGTGATGCATGCTTTGTTGCAAGTGCAGTCATTGTATCTCCAGTGTTTTGAGCTGCTGTGACGCGTTCTCCCCCATCCTGCGTCTCATCCAACCTGACCTCTCCCGGAAGCTCCGCGAGTCTCCCGCAAATTTATACCGGCCCTGTGATCCCCCAAAATAAGTTATAATACTCGGAAATCACAGCGACGAGAGTGAATGTGCAAGACAACAGATCGCGAGAGGCACAGTATTGTTCTAAGCATTAATTGAATAGAGCAGTAAAGATATCGCGAGTGCAAATCCCTCTATCTCTGAGTGATCTGCTGTTATTAGTTGGAGACCAGCAAAACATTTGAACGGTCCTGCATGTATTTAGGCCTCTTTACATATATAACAATTGAAAGTTCTGTTTTGACTATATTGCAAGTTCACTAAAAGCTGGCTGGAACTATTAGATACAATTTGTTTTGTTTTTTTACATGAATATTTAATTATATACATTTTTGTAATACACTCATTGCTATAAACAGTAGTTTATAGACCTCTTTCCTTTTAGTAAAGAAGTTTTAGTCTCATTGGTGTGCATTTTAATTTTAATGCATCAAACATACGCTCCAAACTTGTTCTTGGTTGATTCATGTTGAATTCTTCTTTTATCATTTGCAGTGTTTCCAAAATGCATTGTAATTTTTCATCACAATTTTTATATCTGTGTTATATTATTTTCTGTGGCGGTTTATTCCGCTGTGGTGACCCCTGATAACCAAGGGACTACGCCAGAGTAAAATTAATGGATGAACTATTTCTTATAAAGCTGCTTCTGGCCATGACACGCTCACACCTGGTTATAAGATGGTTATAAGAGACGTGTTTAAGGTATAATATGCAGCATCCTTCATTTGTTCTCTTAGGTAAGGCTAGATCTTCTCTTAAGGTTCATACTTAGAGGAAGATGTGCTCAAAGCATTATAAAGCTTGAAGCATTAGAATCGGTGTTCAGTATTAGCCGATCACCATGACAAGAAATGGGTACTCAATGATATCAGCTGCAAAAATCCTGATCGGAGCAGCCCTAGCTTTAACCCAACTTGGCTGTCAGAGCAGCAATACTCCCCCTGGCTCCACAAGACTGATCTTGGTAAGTCAGTAAATACACCCTTAGGAAAAAGAAGTATACTTAAGTAAAGGTCAAGTATAAAAGTATACTTTATTTAGCAAGTAATTAACCCCAAGAAACACTGCAATGACAAAAGCTGCCCACTTTGTGGAAAAAAAAAAAAAACGATATAAAAATAAATTAACATTTTTAGCCAGTACAGTTGTACACTTCAAATAATTTTTTGTTTATTTATTTTTTTTTTTTTACTGCTGTCGTTAAAAGAAACAAATTTACACCTCGACTCTTTGGCTGCACTTACACTGCAGATCTTGATGGTTACTTCCGATTTTGTGACTGTATCTGATTTTTTTGATGACCTGCTAATATAATCTTTTAAAAGTGACTCGTTTCCGATCGCCTACATTTACAGAGCACACGGCAAAGACGCAATTAGCTGAAAAAAAAAGAGCGGGCGCTGACTAACAGCTGATAATTTAAGAGTGCTCTTTTCCCTATTCCTGTATGGAATCTGTTCGCAGCTTTTTACAAGCTGTTTTACTATAGTTTATGACAGAAAGGTTCTCATTTGTCCATTTTCTTTTAATATATGCCTTTTTTAAACCTTTAGGCATCTTAATGTAATGTCCCATACGAGATTTATGCACGTGATGTAGCTATGCACCAGTTTTATATTAGTTTATATTGGTTACATAGCGGACATTCCACTCTCATGCTTAAATGCCTGTGCTATATGACAAAATAAAAGCTGTTTAAGTCCTCGTGTATGAGATTTAAGGTTTGGGATTCTGCTGAAGTCTGTCCTGAAAAAAAAGTGTCAGACTTGACGTCATTCGCTACGATTTTTATTGATGCACGACTCTCATTGACAGGTGAAAATCTGATCACCCTGCTTAAACTGCAGACACGAAAACAGAGATCCGATTCATATCGGATAAATTTCCACATATGAACAAGCCCTGAATCTGATTTGAGTAAATCGGAATCCATGTGATTTATTCCTGCTCACAAGTACATGGGCCATATCAGATCTGTGCCACATGGAAGAAAACAATCGGAATTGAGTCACTTGAACAGTGCAGTGTAAATGCGGCCTTTGTGTCGGTGTCAGTCCGAACAGATACGCCGCGCCACGCCGAGACGAGACCCCCCACCCTAAAACTGTAAACCTAGGGGAAACACTGGCCTTTAAAGTGAGGTTGCCAATCTCACTTAGGCGGGCACACGTGTGGAATCATGACAGGGTAATTAACCAAGATTGACCGAATGCCAGCTGACACGGTAGATCCTACTTGGAGTACGTTGTTGCTGATGCCTCACTGCGGTTTGCAATCCGAGTTACAAGGCCAAGGTATCTGACGTGTCCTCCAGCAGGGGTCAGCTTATGTCAGACAGATGAACCCAATCTTTTGATTTGCAAAATGGACAACCTGTACCATAACCACACAGACACAAGGCTATAAAAGCCTTAGATGAAGGCAGTACTTGTAAAATCTACTATTTTGGGCCAACCAATCTAAGTAAAAATCAACTTCTCATATCGTGTCGCAGTAACACTGATTTATGATATCTGACCATTACATTTAGATAGATTAGATAAACAACCATAAAATACGAGACGTCTCGCGAGACTACGGTCGACCAAAAGGTTCAAACGTTAGGCAGATTATCTAACAGAATATAGTCTAGAAATATGAAAAAACAGACGGCGCCTGGCCTCACTCTAGTTACAATAGTAAGGCCTTTAACAGATAGATTTGGAGGTTTTCCAAACTATCTCAGAAGCACTGAGGGAAATCGCTGTTCCGACAGGCGCGATAATATTTCAATCATTTGCATGACGTGCATCTTTGCAAAATCGATTTTGAATATTGTGAACTGCAGTTTAATAGTTACACTAACAGTAGTCATCTGTGTGCTAGGGAATGGCTGAAAGACGTGCGTCCTTCCAGCTGTGGAGAGACAGACAGCCAGCTGCATACACCTTTGGTCATGCTGGTGAGTACAATAAAATCACAGTGGAATAAAAAACTTTGCTTCACAGAAAACGTTTAAAATGACCGCCCGCATTCTCCACCATAATCTGTAGCGAAATTAGCTCAATTTCATGAATCTTAATGAGCAATAATAACCAGCTATCATCAATTATGAATACTCAGAATCAGAGATGTATAAACAGGGCTGAAAATTGCGACCATTTTGGTTGCATATGCGCCTGAAATTTTATTTATGCGACCTAAAAATATATTTGGGAGCATTTGTGCGAGTGCATAAAATTGTTGTGTGCGACCACTTTTTGCTGCAATATGTTCACCATATGCGCGGATTCCGAAGACATTTACGCAGAATGCATCTCTTCACTTGAAACGCGAAGCGCAGTGCTCAGGACTGGTTTAAAACCGTTGTCATATCAACTTGCTGCAGTAAACAAAGCAAAGTCCGTAATGCTTGCCCCGCCTCCGCGCTCTTCTTATAGGCCCACTGCTCTAGCATTGAAATATCAGCTGTCAATCACTCAGTCAATGCCTTCTGGCTTGGGATGACAGAGAGCACTACTACCGTGAAAAACGTAAAGCGCTGAAAATGACAATGAAGATAACACTGACAGATTTTGATTTTGAAACCATGCCATCTAAAGTTACAAATAATAACACATCTTAACAGTGATCGTGCTGAATGTTAATCCACCATCTACACTTTTCGAAGAGTGGATAAAAGACTTCAAGTCCGCTATGAAAAGTCTGTGGGATGAAATTTTCCGGTAACTGCGTGCCACATCTAGCACGAAAGCTTCTGTTTAATCCTTCATAAAATCGCCATAAGCTGTTCACCGTGCAAGTGGCAGCTATTTGTCAAATTTAACACCACGTACACCATCGCAAACAGGCTTACATTGAGTAAACTAATACCGCTACTCATGAAAAGACCGGTATCGCTACATGACGTATGCATAAAATAAGGTACAGTATATGTCAAAAACATCAGTGCAATATTAGACACGACCCGTGAGAACAGCACAGTTATATCAGTTACAGATTCAATAATGTCAAGCAGTGCGTGCAGGGCGGGTTTGCGGTCCCTGTATGCTTTGGTCACTCAGTTTTGTTATAAAAATCTATTTTCTTGTGATAACGGGATTTCGTTGAGACACATTTTCCTCACGCTTGCAAATTTGCATTTTTTTTTTTTTTTTTGCTTGTTAGTTTGATTACTGTTGATTTCAAATGCAATAAATATGTTTGTATAAAACTTTTAGTAACTGTGTTTATAAGTTAGACTAAATTTTGGTTGATGCGCCTACATTTTTAAAGTTAGGAGCACCAGTCTTACCCAGCAAAAAGGTTAATTTCGAACAATGATAAAGTACTAGAGACACAGACTTAGCTAAAACTACAAGTGCTCTTTAAAAAAAGTGACTTGAGTAGAAGTTGAAGTGCTCTTTAAGCACCATACTTAAGTGGAAGTATCAACACTTTTTGTACTTCAGTATTGCAAGTAGTTTATTTCAAAGTTTACTGCTCAAGTACTGAAATTAAAAATACATATTATGTATTGTGTAACGTCGTTATTAAAAAAAAAAGCAGTCAAAAGACACCATATTCTTTTGTTTAGTTTAAATATCTTTTGGGGGGGGGGGGCACGTGATTAAGCAGTATGAAAAGAAACATGGCTTACGATACTGTTTTTCTCTCGCGCTTGAATCACAGATCTGACAGATTATAACAGCTTTAACACACACCTTTTAAAGTTGTGTGTCACAAAAACACTCTGTAATCCACTCAAAACGCTATTGAAGCCCATTTTCGCATTGCAAATTACCAGTTGTAAACGCTGTAAGCGGATGTTCAAAACATTCTACCGGAAGACGCTGGTCGCTATGGCGCCCTCCATGCAGCAACCAAGAAAAAGGTCTATAAATGTAACGAGTAGGGGTGTGAATCTACACTGGTCTGACGGGTTGGTTCGGTTATGATTATCATGCCATCGATTCGGTTCATTTCGATATCTCGGTGGATTGACGATGCTTTCCATACATAATTCTATTTTTTCTTCACAACACAAGATTTTTTTTTTTTGATCAAAATCTATAAATATATTTATATATATTGTTTGTAATACAATTTTGTTCTTTAATACAGCAGACCCTTAATTTGACCTGCTCAAAGACAACACTCTTTCTGAAAGTATCAAACAAAACTCCAACACATGCACAGAAGACAGCGTGAGCATTTATAGCTAATAAACTAATGTAAATATCATCCTGCTTGCTTTTAGAGCGCTGACAGGCGAGGTCTAACACCCCTATGATTGGTTATTGTCTTACCCTGCTCAACAGAAAGGGCTGCGATCGGCTTTAGAAATTAAATCGCTGTTTACCGATGGCGTGAAAAAACTGCTACGGTTACACTCTATATGCGCATAATACGCGCATATCACAGGTAATCCGTGAAAGAAACAGTGGAGAAAACTTGTACCACAGGCACGCTCGTGTCTTGATCCACAAGTATCGCTTGAACAGTCAAGTGGAGAGGAAAAGTGACCTCACAAACAGGTCAGCGGGTCAAATGTCCAAAGTAAGAGAGAGAGAGAGAGAGAGAGAGAGAGGCACAGGTGGATTCTTACAGCATTTCACCCTAGTAGTGAAATAGCGGCTCGTGTGCTGTGCCGCCTTCATTGTAGTAAGAGCGACACTCGGCCTCGCCTCCTTTACCATAGCATTCTACTGCGACATCGCGCATAGGAGATAAATGACGTCAGTGTGTAATAACCGGTTGTGATCTCTTGCTGAACCGATAAAAATAATTTTGACACCCCTAGTAACGAGTAACGACGCAGCACATAAAGAATCTATCGGAGTATTAAACTCATCGAAAATATGTACTGAAGTAAAAGTGGAAGGAGGAGTAAAAAAACAATACTCCAGTAGAGTACAGATACAGCCTTTTAGTACTTAAGTACAGTAGTGAAGTAGTTCTACTTCGTTGATATACATCTCTAGGAAACTTGTTCAAGTAAAGCTTGTAGCAAGGCTCCAATGTTAAATTGACCTTTTCTGTGAGGCAAAACATCCACAATCCAACGTGGTTATAGCATGACTTATTGACCAGTCTAACATATATACATTACTAGGCTGACAGGGTCATCAGCTGGGGGAAAATGTACAGGCCAGACGTTGGTCCTTTTAAAAACCACTGTGGGCCAGACACTGTGATGTTGAACTAGGGTGGCTATATAATAGTTGATTTCTACGTTACGCTAAACGATAGCGCTACGATAAGCTAAACAAAACAGCATAGCACTGGAATAAATGAGTGTACAGAGAAACATAGAGGTTCTACAGAGGGTCTATTGACCTTATTCTAAAATGCGGAAGTGCGCCTGTTTTCACGATTGTTTCAGAACTTCCGCATCAGTCGCCTATGGGAAAAATGACTAGGAATAATAAACGGCAGAAAACGGTCAAACTACTTACTCTACAAACAAATGTTTGCATTACTAAACCGACTAAGTAGAATAATATAATAGGAAAATATCAGTTTGCAACTGATACAACGAGACCGGAAGTCTTGAGCCAAAAAGATTCAAATGGCTGCGCCCACTCGTCGGCAAAGAATAACGTGAATAGTCCTATTGTGGTTCAGGTTCAGACTAGGCTTTACATGCTTCTTGACCTTTGATGGTGAGTTAAAAGGCATCCAGATGAAAATCGCAATGATGAGCTATCTGGCTAGACTTTCCCCAACGCCTACTGCAGTTACGATCAGGTTACTTGCACACACTGCAACCAGATGCAAACTCTCAAACAGTATGGGCCTCTAGCACAACACGTAACACTCAATGAGGTCACCGACCACTTGGCACGATTCAAAATTGGGTTTCGCCTGAAGATTCCGGTGCCACTCTAGGCCCACAGTGTTTTCCCCACCATTATATTGGGGGGGGGGCTTCCCGCCCCCCTTGAGGTCAAGTTAATTGTATTTTATACATAGCACCAGATCACAACTTCTTTTAATAAACGAGCTAAATAGCCGTATGTAATGTCTTATTTACACAACGGCATGTGATTTCGGTCTCTACATGGTCGCTCCATTACATATTTCTGCTCTCTGAATCGCCCACAGTGGAGTTCTACACAGCCACTGTATGCTGAATGGGAATGAAACTGTGTGCCACGTTTGACAGGACCCAAGACGCACGTGCACTTACGTATATTATGCATAGCCTGCAGCAGCCAAAACAAAGGTAAAAGATGGCCCAATCCCAATTTTATTTTTTTGTACCCCTACCCCTTCCCCCTGGCCCTTAAAACCGAGGGTGAAGGGGAAGGGCTTCAAAACGTACCCCTAAGAATTGGGACAGCACTACAGCACCTGCACTCGTCATCATATGTCATCGCCATCTCTGATACGATATGAGATTAGAAAATATGAGATTAGACGATCGCGACTGCTGTAGTTATTCCAGTCGAGTTATTTATTGGTATTTATCTTCAGGAAATCACTGAAGGCATATGTTGTGTTATCATAACGGTCTGATGCGACACTAAGATCATAATACTGCGCATTTAACACAGTGGCCATATTTATCTATGTAAACACAGCAAAAACAACATTAACATTATAGCAGACACCGTAAAAAGCCCAATCCTGGCCATTAGACTTTTCGACAGAGTATTCGAGTGTCATCGAGTGACAGAATGCTGTGGGACTGCTATACAGGAGTTATGATTATGGACTATAGATTGCGAAATTTACCGGTTTTTATTTTAGCGGGGGTTTTTTTTAAAGCATGACGGTAAAACACCTACGTCGTCAGGAATATATTCAAACATGTGTTTGTCTCTTGTAAACATTTGTAATTTGTAACAACAAAATACTAATTTGTGGATCTCCTTACTTCCGGGTGTAACTATCTGCCGTTGTGGCTGGTGTGTTCTGGGAAATTTTATGATCCCTTGGTTTCGAGTGTGGTCCTGAAAAATCTTTGTTCGAAGGGCTATTCACCCCTTCCCCTTAGCCCTACGCCTTCAAGCTAAAGAGAATTGGGACACCCCTACCCCTTGACGCGCAAAACGAGGGGAAGGGGCAAGGGGAAGGGCTACGGGGTAGAATTGGGAGTGGGCCAACGTGTGGGGGCGTAAGTAATGTGCTCGGTCGCAGCAGCTAAAGTATATACAGATGCGATGGGACCTCTGTTTAGTTCATTAGCGTGACCCGCGCGAGTGATGCATGCTTTGTTGCAAGTGCAGTCATTGTATCTCCAGTGTTTTGAGCTGCTGTGACGCGTTCTCCCCCATCCTGCGTCTCATCCAACCTGACCTCTCCCGGAAGCTCCGCGAGTCTCCCGCAAATTTATACCGGCCCTGTGATCCCCCAAAATAAGTTATAATACTCGGAAATCACAGCGACGAGAGTGAATGTGCAAGACAACAGATCGCGAGAGGCACAGTATTGTTCTAAGCATTAATTGAATAGAGCAGTAAAGATATCGCGAGTGCAAATCCCTCTATCTCTGAGTGATCTGCTGTTATTAGTTGGAGACCAGCAAAACATTTGAACGGTCCTGCATGTATTTAGGCCTCTTTACATATATAACAATTGAAAGTTCTGTTTTGACTATATTGCAAGTTCACTAAAAGCTGGCTGGAACTATTAGATACAATTTGTTTTGTTTTTTTACATGAATATTTAATTATATACATTTTTGTAATACACTCATTGCTATAAACAGTAGTTTATAGACCTCTTTCCTTTTAGTAAAGAAGTTTTAGTCTCATTGGTGTGCATTTTAATTTTAATGCATCAAACATACGCTCCAAACTTGTTCTTGGTTGATTCATGTTGAATTCTTCTTTTATCATTTGCAGTGTTTCCAAAATGCATTGTAATTTTTCATCACAATTTTTATATCTGTGTTATATTATTTTCTGTGGCGGTTTATTCCGCTGTGGTGACCCCTGATAACCAAGGGACTACGCCAGAGTAAAATTAATGGATGAACTATTTCTTATAAAGCTGCTTCTGGCCATGACACGCTCACACCTGGTTATAAGATGGTTATAAGAGACGTGTTTAAGGTATAATATGCAGCATCCTTCATTTGTTCTCTTAGGTAAGGCTAGATCTTCTCTTAAGGTTCATACTTAGAGGAAGATGTGCTCAAAGCATTATAAAGCTTGAAGCATTAGAATCGGTGTTCAGTATTAGCCGATCACCATGACAAGAAATGGGTACTCAATGATATCAGCTGCAAAAATCCTGATCGGAGCAGCCCTAGCTTTAACCCAACTTGGCTGTCAGAGCAGCAATACTCCCCCTGGCTCCACAAGACTGATCTTGGTAAGTCAGTAAATACACCCTTAGGAAAAAGAAGTATACTTAAGTAAAGGTCAAGTATAAAAGTATACTTTATTTAGCAAGTAATTAACCCCAAGAAACACTGCAATGACAAAAGCTGCCCACTTTGTGGAAAAAAAAAAAAAACGATATAAAAATAAATTAACATTTTTAGCCAGTACAGTTGTACACTTCAAATAATTTTTTGTTTATTTATTTTTTTTTTTTTACTGCTGTCGTTAAAAGAAACAAATTTACACCTCGACTCTTTGGCTGCACTTACACTGCAGATCTTGATGGTTACTTCCGATTTTGTGACTGTATCTGATTTTTTTGATGACCTGCTAATATAATCTTTTAAAAGTGACTCGTTTCCGATCGCCTACATTTACAGAGCACACGGCAAAGACGCAATTAGCTGAAAAAAAAAGAGCGGGCGCTGACTAACAGCTGATAATTTAAGAGTGCTCTTTTCCCTATTCCTGTATGGAATCTGTTCGCAGCTTTTTACAAGCTGTTTTACTATAGTTTATGACAGAAAGGTTCTCATTTGTCCATTTTCTTTTAATATATGCCTTTTTTAAACCTTTAGGCATCTTAATGTAATGTCCCATACGAGATTTATGCACGTGATGTAGCTATGCACCAGTTTTATATTAGTTTATATTGGTTACATAGCGGACATTCCACTCTCATGCTTAAATGCCTGTGCTATATGACAAAATAAAAGCTGTTTAAGTCCTCGTGTATGAGATTTAAGGTTTGGGATTCTGCTGAAGTCTGTCCTGAAAAAAAAGTGTCAGACTTGACGTCATTCGCTACGATTTTTATTGATGCACGACTCTCATTGACAGGTGAAAATCTGATCACCCTGCTTAAACTGCAGACACGAAAACAGAGATCCGATTCATATCGGATAAATTTCCACATATGAACAAGCCCTGAATCTGATTTGAGTAAATCGGAATCCATGTGATTTATTCCTGCTCACAAGTACATGGGCCATATCAGATCTGTGCCACATGGAAGAAAACAATCGGAATTGAGTCACTTGAACAGTGCAGTGTAAATGCGGCCTTTGTGTCGGTGTCAGTCCGAACAGATACGCCGCGCCACGCCGAGACGAGACCCCCCACCCTAAAACTGTAAACCTAGGGGAAACACTGGCCTTTAAAGTGAGGTTGCCAATCTCACTTAGGCGGGCACACGTGTGGAATCATGACAGGGTAATTAACCAAGATTGACCGAATGCCAGCTGACACGGTAGATCCTACTTGGAGTACGTTGTTGCTGATGCCTCACTGCGGTTTGCAATCCGAGTTACAAGGCCAAGGTATCTGACGTGTCCTCCAGCAGGGGTCAGCTTATGTCAGACAGATGAACCCAATCTTTTGATTTGCAAAATGGACAACCTGTACCATAACCACACAGACACAAGGCTATAAAAGCCTTAGATGAAGGCAGTACTTGTAAAATCTACTATTTTGGGCCAACCAATCTAAGTAAAAATCAACTTCTCATATCGTGTCGCAGTAACACTGATTTATGATATCTGACCATTACATTTAGATAGATTAGATAAACAACCATAAAATACGAGACGTCTCGCGAGACTACGGTCGACCAAAAGGTTCAAACGTTAGGCAGATTATCTAACAGAATATAGTCTAGAAATATGAAAAAACAGACGGCGCCTGGCCTCACTCTAGTTACAATAGTAAGGCCTTTAACAGATAGATTTGGAGGTTTTCCAAACTATCTCAGAAGCACTGAGGGAAATCGCTGTTCCGACAGGCGCGATAATATTTCAATCATTTGCATGACGTGCATCTTTGCAAAATCGATTTTGAATATTGTGAACTGCAGTTTAATAGTTACACTAACAGTAGTCATCTGTGTGCTAGGGAATGGCTGAAAGACGTGCGTCCTTCCAGCTGTGGAGAGACAGACAGCCAGCTGCATACACCTTTGGTCATGCTGGTGAGTACAATAAAATCACAGTGGAATAAAAAACTTTGCTTCACAGAAAACGTTTAAAATGACCGCCCGCATTCTCCACCATAATCTGTAGCGAAATTAGCTCAATTTCATGAATCTTAATGAGCAATAATAACCAGCTATCATCAATTATGAATACTCAGAATCAGAGATGTATAAACAGGGCTGAAAATTGCGACCATTTTGGTTGCATATGCGCCTGAAATTTTATTTATGCGACCTAAAAATATATTTGGGAGCATTTGTGCGAGTGCATAAAATTGTTGTGTGCGACCACTTTTTGCTGCAATATGTTCACCATATGCGCGGATTCCGAAGACATTTACGCAGAATGCATCTCTTCACTTGAAACGCGAAGCGCAGTGCTCAGGACTGGTTTAAAACCGTTGTCATATCAACTTGCTGCAGTAAACAAAGCAAAGTCCGTAATGCTTGCCCCGCCTCCGCGCTCTTCTTATAGGCCCACTGCTCTAGCATTGAAATATCAGCTGTCAATCACTCAGTCAATGCCTTCTGGCTTGGGATGACAGAGAGCACTACTACCGTGAAAAACGTAAAGCGCTGAAAATGACAATGAAGATAACACTGACAGATTTTGATTTTGAAACCATGCCATCTAAAGTTACAAATAATAACACATCTTAACAGTGATCGTGCTGAATGTTAATCCACCATCTACACTTTTCGAAGAGTGGATAAAAGACTTCAAGTCCGCTATGAAAAGTCTGTGGGATGAAATTTTCCGGTAACTGCGTGCCACATCTAGCACGAAAGCTTCTGTTTAATCCTTCATAAAATCGCCATAAGCTGTTCACCGTGCAAGTGGCAGCTATTTGTCAAATTTAACACCACGTACACCATCGCAAACAGGCTTACATTGAGTAAACTAATACCGCTACTCATGAAAAGACCGGTATCGCTACATGACGTATGCATAAAATAAGGTACAGTATATGTCAAAAACATCAGTGCAATATTAGACACGACCCGTGAGAACAGCACAGTTATATCAGTTACAGATTCAATAATGTCAAGCAGTGCGTGCAGGGCGGGTTTGCGGTCCCTGTATGCTTTGGTCACTCAGTTTTGTTATAAAAATCTATTTTCTTGTGATAACGGGATTTCGTTGAGACACATTTTCCTCACGCTTGCAAATTTGCATTTTTTTTTTTTTTTTTGCTTGTTAGTTTGATTACTGTTGATTTCAAATGCAATAAATATGTTTGTATAAAACTTTTAGTAACTGTGTTTATAAGTTAGACTAAATTTTGGTTGATGCGCCTACATTTTTAAAGTTAGGAGCACCAGTCTTACCCAGCAAAAAGGTTAATTTCGAACAATGATAAAGTACTAGAGACACAGACTTAGCTAAAACTACAAGTGCTCTTTAAAAAAAGTGACTTGAGTAGAAGTTGAAGTGCTCTTTAAGCACCATACTTAAGTGGAAGTATCAACACTTTTTGTACTTCAGTATTGCAAGTAGTTTATTTCAAAGTTTACTGCTCAAGTACTGAAATTAAAAATACATATTATGTATTGTGTAACGTCGTTATTAAAAAAAAAAGCAGTCAAAAGACACCATATTCTTTTGTTTAGTTTAAATATCTTTTGGGGGGGGGGGGCACGTGATTAAGCAGTATGAAAAGAAACATGGCTTACGATACTGTTTTTCTCTCGCGCTTGAATCACAGATCTGACAGATTATAACAGCTTTAACACACACCTTTTAAAGTTGTGTGTCACAAAAACACTCTGTAATCCACTCAAAACGCTATTGAAGCCCATTTTCGCATTGCAAATTACCAGTTGTAAACGCTGTAAGCGGATGTTCAAAACATTCTACCGGAAGACGCTGGTCGCTATGGCGCCCTCCATGCAGCAACCAAGAAAAAGGTCTATAAATGTAACGAGTAGGGGTGTGAATCTACACTGGTCTGACGGGTTGGTTCGGTTATGATTATCATGCCATCGATTCGGTTCATTTCGATATCTCGGTGGATTGACGATGCTTTCCATACATAATTCTATTTTTTCTTCACAACACAAGATTTTTTTTTTTTGATCAAAATCTATAAATATATTTATATATATTGTTTGTAATACAATTTTGTTCTTTAATACAGCAGACCCTTAATTTGACCTGCTCAAAGACAACACTCTTTCTGAAAGTATCAAACAAAACTCCAACACATGCACAGAAGACAGCGTGAGCATTTATAGCTAATAAACTAATGTAAATATCATCCTGCTTGCTTTTAGAGCGCTGACAGGCGAGGTCTAACACCCCTATGATTGGTTATTGTCTTACCCTGCTCAACAGAAAGGGCTGCGATCGGCTTTAGAAATTAAATCGCTGTTTACCGATGGCGTGAAAAAACTGCTACGGTTACACTCTATATGCGCATAATACGCGCATATCACAGGTAATCCGTGAAAGAAACAGTGGAGAAAACTTGTACCACAGGCACGCTCGTGTCTTGATCCACAAGTATCGCTTGAACAGTCAAGTGGAGAGGAAAAGTGACCTCACAAACAGGTCAGCGGGTCAAATGTCCAAAGTAAGAGAGAGAGAGAGAGAGAGAGAGAGAGGCACAGGTGGATTCTTACAGCATTTCACCCTAGTAGTGAAATAGCGGCTCGTGTGCTGTGCCGCCTTCATTGTAGTAAGAGCGACACTCGGCCTCGCCTCCTTTACCATAGCATTCTACTGCGACATCGCGCATAGGAGATAAATGACGTCAGTGTGTAATAACCGGTTGTGATCTCTTGCTGAACCGATAAAAATAATTTTGACACCCCTAGTAACGAGTAACGACGCAGCACATAAAGAATCTATCGGAGTATTAAACTCATCGAAAATATGTACTGAAGTAAAAGTGGAAGGAGGAGTAAAAAAACAATACTCCAGTAGAGTACAGATACAGCCTTTTAGTACTTAAGTACAGTAGTGAAGTAGTTCTACTTCGTTGATATACATCTCTAGGAAACTTGTTCAAGTAAAGCTTGTAGCAAGGCTCCAATGTTAAATTGACCTTTTCTGTGAGGCAAAACATCCACAATCCAACGTGGTTATAGCATGACTTATTGACCAGTCTAACATATATACATTACTAGGCTGACAGGGTCATCAGCTGGGGGAAAATGTACAGGCCAGACGTTGGTCCTTTTAAAAACCACTGTGGGCCAGACACTGTGATGTTGAACTAGGGTGGCTATATAATAGTTGATTTCTACGTTACGCTAAACGATAGCGCTACGATAAGCTAAACAAAACAGCATAGCACTGGAATAAATGAGTGTACAGAGAAACATAGAGGTTCTACAGAGGGTCTATTGACCTTATTCTAAAATGCGGAAGTGCGCCTGTTTTCACGATTGTTTCAGAACTTCCGCATCAGTCGCCTATGGGAAAAATGACTAGGAATAATAAACGGCAGAAAACGGTCAAACTACTTACTCTACAAACAAATGTTTGCATTACTAAACCGACTAAGTAGAATAATATAATAGGAAAATATCAGTTTGCAACTGATACAACGAGACCGGAAGTCTTGAGCCAAAAAGATTCAAATGGCTGCGCCCACTCGTCGGCAAAGAATAACGTGAATAGTCCTATTGTGGTTCAGGTTCAGACTAGGCTTTACATGCTTCTTGACCTTTGATGGTGAGTTAAAAGGCATCCAGATGAAAATCGCAATGATGAGCTATCTGGCTAGACTTTCCCCAACGCCTACTGCAGTTACGATCAGGTTACTTGCACACACTGCAACCAGATGCAAACTCTCAAACAGTATGGGCCTCTAGCACAACACGTAACACTCAATGAGGTCACCGACCACTTGGCACGATTCAAAATTGGGTTTCGCCTGAAGATTCCGGTGCCACTCTAGGCCCACAGTGTTTTCCCCACCATTATATTGGGGGGGGGGCTTCCCGCCCCCCTTGAGGTCAAGTTAATTGTATTTTATACATAGCACCAGATCACAACTTCTTTTAATAAACGAGCTAAATAGCCGTATGTAATGTCTTATTTACACAACGGCATGTGATTTCGGTCTCTACATGGTCGCTCCATTACATATTTCTGCTCTCTGAATCGCCCACAGTGGAGTTCTACACAGCCACTGTATGCTGAATGGGAATGAAACTGTGTGCCACGTTTGACAGGACCCAAGACGCACGTGCACTTACGTATATTATGCATAGCCTGCAGCAGCCAAAACAAAGGTAAAAGATGGCCCAATCCCAATTTTATTTTTTTGTACCCCTACCCCTTCCCCCTGGCCCTTAAAACCGAGGGTGAAGGGGAAGGGCTTCAAAACGTACCCCTAAGAATTGGGACAGCACTACAGCACCTGCACTCGTCATCATATGTCATCGCCATCTCTGATACGATATGAGATTAGAAAATATGAGATTAGACGATCGCGACTGCTGTAGTTATTCCAGTCGAGTTATTTATTGGTATTTATCTTCAGGAAATCACTGAAGGCATATGTTGTGTTATCATAACGGTCTGATGCGACACTAAGATCATAATACTGCGCATTTAACACAGTGGCCATATTTATCTATGTAAACACAGCAAAAACAACATTAACATTATAGCAGACACCGTAAAAAGCCCAATCCTGGCCATTAGACTTTTCGACAGAGTATTCGAGTGTCATCGAGTGACAGAATGCTGTGGGACTGCTATACAGGAGTTATGATTATGGACTATAGATTGCGAAATTTACCGGTTTTTATTTTAGCGGGGGTTTTTTTTAAAGCATGACGGTAAAACACCTACGTCGTCAGGAATATATTCAAACATGTGTTTGTCTCTTGTAAACATTTGTAATTTGTAACAACAAAATACTAATTTGTGGATCTCCTTACTTCCGGGTGTAACTATCTGCCGTTGTGGCTGGTGTGTTCTGGGAAATTTTATGATCCCTTGGTTTCGAGTGTGGTCCTGAAAAATCTTTGTTCGAAGGGCTATTCACCCCTTCCCCTTAGCCCTACGCCTTCAAGCTAAAGAGAATTGGGACACCCCTACCCCTTGACGCGCAAAACGAGGGGAAGGGGCAAGGGGAAGGGCTACGGGGTAGAATTGGGAGTGGGCCAACGTGTGGGGGCGTAAGTAATGTGCTCGGTCGCAGCAGCTAAAGTATATACAGATGCGATGGGACCTCTGTTTAGTTCATTAGCGTGACCCGCGCGAGTGATGCATGCTTTGTTGCAAGTGCAGTCATTGTATCTCCAGTGTTTTGAGCTGCTGTGACGCGTTCTCCCCCATCCTGCGTCTCATCCAACCTGACCTCTCCCGGAAGCTCCGCGAGTCTCCCGCAAATTTATACCGGCCCTGTGATCCCCCAAAATAAGTTATAATACTCGGAAATCACAGCGACGAGAGTGAATGTGCAAGACAACAGATCGCGAGAGGCACAGTATTGTTCTAAGCATTAATTGAATAGAGCAGTAAAGATATCGCGAGTGCAAATCCCTCTATCTCTGAGTGATCTGCTGTTATTAGTTGGAGACCAGCAAAACATTTGAACGGTCCTGCATGTATTTAGGCCTCTTTACATATATAACAATTGAAAGTTCTGTTTTGACTATATTGCAAGTTCACTAAAAGCTGGCTGGAACTATTAGATACAATTTGTTTTGTTTTTTTACATGAATATTTAATTATATACATTTTTGTAATACACTCATTGCTATAAACAGTAGTTTATAGACCTCTTTCCTTTTAGTAAAGAAGTTTTAGTCTCATTGGTGTGCATTTTAATTTTAATGCATCAAACATACGCTCCAAACTTGTTCTTGGTTGATTCATGTTGAATTCTTCTTTTATCATTTGCAGTGTTTCCAAAATGCATTGTAATTTTTCATCACAATTTTTATATCTGTGTTATATTATTTTCTGTGGCGGTTTATTCCGCTGTGGTGACCCCTGATAACCAAGGGACTACGCCAGAGTAAAATTAATGGATGAACTATTTCTTATAAAGCTGCTTCTGGCCATGACACGCTCACACCTGGTTATAAGATGGTTATAAGAGACGTGTTTAAGGTATAATATGCAGCATCCTTCATTTGTTCTCTTAGGTAAGGCTAGATCTTCTCTTAAGGTTCATACTTAGAGGAAGATGTGCTCAAAGCATTATAAAGCTTGAAGCATTAGAATCGGTGTTCAGTATTAGCCGATCACCATGACAAGAAATGGGTACTCAATGATATCAGCTGCAAAAATCCTGATCGGAGCAGCCCTAGCTTTAACCCAACTTGGCTGTCAGAGCAGCAATACTCCCCCTGGCTCCACAAGACTGATCTTGGTAAGTCAGTAAATACACCCTTAGGAAAAAGAAGTATACTTAAGTAAAGGTCAAGTATAAAAGTATACTTTATTTAGTAAGTAATTAACCCCAAGAAACACTGCAATGACAAAAGCTGCCCACTTTGTGGAAAAAAAAAAACGATATAAAAATAAATTAACATTTTTAGCCAGTACAGTTGTACACTTCAAATAATTTTTTGTTTATTTATTTATTTATTTTTTACTGCTGTCGTTAAAAGAAACAAATTTACACCTCGACTCTTTGGCTGCACTTACACTGCAGATCTTGATGGTTACTTCCGATTTTGTGACTGTATCTGATTTTTTTGATGACCTGCTAATATAATCTTTTAAAAGTGACTCGTTTCCGATCGCCTACATTTACAGAGCACACGGCAAAGACGCAATTAGCTGAAAAAAAAGAGCGGGCGCTGACTAACAGCTGATAATTTAAGAGTGCTCTTTTCCCTATTCCTGTATGGAATCTGTTCGCAGCTTTTTACAAGCTGTTTTACTATAGTTTATGACAGAAAGGTTCTCATTTGTCCATTTTCTTTTAATATATGCCTTTTTTAAACCTTTAGGCATCTTAATGTAATGTCCCATACGAGATTTATGCACGTGATGTAGCTATGCACCAGTTTTATATTAGTTTATATTGGTTACATAGCGGACATTCCACTCTCATGCTTAAATGCCTGTGCTATATGACAAAATAAAAGCTGTTTAAGTCCTCGTGTATGAGATTTAAGGTTTGGGATTCTGCTGAAGTCTGTCCTGAAAAAAAAGTGTCAGACTTGACGTCATTCGCTACGATTTTTATTGATGCACGACTCTCATTGACAGGTGAAAATCTGATCACCCTGCTTAAACTGCAGACACGAAAACAGAGATCCGATTCATATCGGATAAATTTCCACATATGAACAAGCCCTGAATCTGATTTGAGTAAATCGGAATCCATGTGATTTATTCCTGCTCACAAGTACATGGGCCATATCAGATCTGTGCCACATGGAAGAAAACAATCGGAATTGAGTCACTTGAACAGTGCAGTGTAAATGCGGCCTTTGTGTCGGTGTCAGTCCGAACAGATACGCCGCGCCACGCCGAGACGAGACCCCCCACCCTAAAACTGTAAACCTAGGGGAAACACTGGCCTTTAAAGTGAGGTTGCCAATCTCACTTAGGCGGGCACACGTGTGGAATCATGACAGGGTAATTAACCAAGATTGACCGAATGCCAGCTGACACGGTAGATCCTACTTGGAGTACGTTGTTGCTGATGCCTCACTGCGGTTTGCAATCCGAGTTACAAGGCCAAGGTATCTGACGTGTCCTCCAGCAGGGGTCAGCTTATGTCAGACAGATGAACCCAATCTTTTGATTTGCAAAATGGACAACCTGTACCATAACCACACAGACACAAGGCTATAAAAGCCTTAGATGAAGGCAGTACTTGTAAAATCTACTATTTTGGGCCAACCAATCTAAGTAAAAATCAACTTCTCATATCGTGTCGCAGTAACACTGATTTATGATATCTGACCATTACATTTAGATAGATTAGATAAACAACCATAAAATACGAGACGTCTCGCGAGACTACGGTCGACCAAAAGGTTCAAACGTTAGGCAGATTATCTAACAGAATATAGTCTAGAAATATGAAAAAACAGACGGCGCCTGGCCTCACTCTAGTTACAATAGTAAGGCCTTTAACAGATAGATTTGGAGGTTTTCCAAACTATCTCAGAAGCACTGAGGGAAATCGCTGTTCCGACAGGCGCGATAATATTTCAATCATTTGCATGACGTGCATCTTTGCAAAATCGATTTTGAATATTGTGAACTGCAGTTTAATAGTTACACTAACAGTAGTCATCTGTGTGCTAGGGAATGGCTGAAAGACGTGCGTCCTTCCAGCTGTGGAGAGACAGACAGCCAGCTGCATACACCTTTGGTCATGCTGGTGAGTACAATAAAATCACAGTGGAATAAAAAACTTTGCTTCACAGAAAACGTTTAAAATGACCGCCCGCATTCTCCACCATAATCTGTAGCGAAATTAGCTCAATTTCATGAATCTTAATGAGCAATAATAACCAGCTATCATCAATTATGAATACTCAGAATCAGAGATGTATAAACAGGGCTGAAAATTGCGACCATTTTGGTTGCATATGCGCCTGAAATTTTATTTATGCGACCTAAAAATATATTTGGGAGCATTTGTGCGAGTGCATAAAATTGTTGTGTGCGACCACTTTTTGCTGCAATATGTTCACCATATGCGCGGATTCCGAAGACATTTACGCAGAATGCATCTCTTCACTTGAAACGCGAAGCGCAGTGCTCAGGACTGGTTTAAAACCGTTGTCATATCAACTTGCTGCAGTAAACAAAGCAAAGTCCGTAATGCTTGCCCCGCCTCCGCGCTCTTCTTATAGGCCCACTGCTCTAGCATTGAAATATCAGCTGTCAATCACTCAGTCAATGCCTTCTGGCTTGGGATGACAGAGAGCACTACTACCGTGAAAAACGTAAAGCGCTGAAAATGACAATGAAGATAACACTGACAGATTTTGATTTTGAAACCATGCCATCTAAAGTTACAAATAATAACACATCTTAACAGTGATCGTGCTGAATGTTAATCCACCATCTACACTTTTCGAAGAGTGGATAAAAGACTTCAAGTCCGCTATGAAAAGTCTGTGGGATGAAATTTTCCGGTAACTGCGTGCCACATCTAGCACGAAAGCTTCTGTTTAATCCTTCATAAAATCGCCATAAGCTGTTCACCGTGCAAGTGGCAGCTATTTGTCAAATTTAACACCACGTACACCATCGCAAACAGGCTTACATTGAGTAAACTAATACCGCTACTCATGAAAAGACCGGTATCGCTACATGACGTATGCATAAAATAAGGTACAGTATATGTCAAAAACATCAGTGCAATATTAGACACGACCCGTGAGAACAGCACAGTTATATCAGTTACAGATTCAATAATGTCAAGCAGTGCGTGCAGGGCGGGTTTGCGGTCCCTGTATGCTTTGGTCACTCAGTTTTGTTATAAAAATCTATTTTCTTGTGATAACGGGATTTCGTTGAGACACATTTTCCTCACGCTTGCAAATTTGCATTTTTTTTTTTTTTTTTGCTTGTTAGTTTGATTACTGTTGATTTCAAATGCAATAAATATGTTTGTATAAAACTTTTAGTAACTGTGTTTATAAGTTAGACTAAATTTTGGTTGATGCGCCTACATTTTTAAAGTTAGGAGCACCAGTCTTACCCAGCAAAAAGGTTAATTTCGAACAATGATAAAGTACTAGAGACACAGACTTAGCTAAAACTACAAGTGCTCTTTAAAAAAAGTGACTTGAGTAGAAGTTGAAGTGCTCTTTAAGCACCATACTTAAGTGGAAGTATCAACACTTTTTGTACTTCAGTATTGCAAGTAGTTTATTTCAAAGTTTACTGCTCAAGTACTGAAATTAAAAATACATATTAGGGTCAATGACGTGACGCTCATTTTTTTGTGTCCATGTCTTTTAAATAAATTCAAGTAGGTTACAGTTTCAAAATAAATAAGCAAATTACTTGCATACATTCTCTATTTTGAGGACCAAGTTTAATTTTTTGGTTTTAATCCATTTTAAGAAAATTTTTAGGGGATTATTGCAAGAATGTCAATGTGGTGTAACCAAAAAAAATTGGTACCAAATAGTTTACCTTGTTTAAAAAATGTGAAAGCCTCAATGAAACATTGTATCGGCTAGTCTGGCATAATTTTACATTAGACATATTTAATAGTAAATAAAGGTAAATATAGCACAATTGTTTTAAATATTATAATTCATTTGGGGAATTTTTTCTGTCACCTCAAATTTCTGAAATGTCAAGATGGTGTAACCACCATTTATTGAGCCATTTTGTTAATATTGTGCACAAGACAGTTAGACAGGAAATTGAATCACAGAGAAGAACTCTTGATAAGACTAATTGCTGCATGCAAAGGTTAGTAACTCTTTTTAAAATGTGAGATACTTTGACCTTTTTAAGGTATGGTCAGCTATTCTTAGATATGCATGTCAAATGGTAAGACCCCAGAAATGCACTGATAATTGTTCATAATTATAAAAATAAGTATTATATTTAAAAGTTAAATTTGAAATATTCCCACCAAGCCCATGTGCTTACATAGATGTTATTGATAATGCCTGTCAAATTTCATTTTGAGTTGAAATGTCAAGGGGTGTAACTGGTTACACCATTTGACTCATATAGCAGGAGTCTTTCTGTCAGGGGTCAATTTAGTCAAATATCATTAGTTCATGATGCTGATCAAAAATGCGACATAAATTAAACTACTATTTGTGTTCATAGTGTAGATTATTTATTTATTTTTGTTTGAGAAATAGGTGCTTAATCCACAACCTTACTATTAAAGCTTTGTAAACATAGGATAAAATTATTTTACTGCACAACATGAATGTTTTTTTTTTTGTTTATGTTAATCCATGTTTATATTCACACAATATAATGTACACACTCTCTCATTCACACACACATTCATACACTACAGTCAATTTAGTTTTTCTAATTCACCTATACCGCAAGTCTTTGGACTGTGGGGGAAACTGGAGCTCCCAGAGAAAACCCATGTCAACTCCACACAGTAAGCCATCCTGGTCCATCTTGGACTCAAACCAGCAACCTTGTTGCTGTGAGACAACTGTGCTAACCACATTAGCCACTGTATCACCCTCCTTTGAAATGTTGTAAGTATTTTTTTTCTTCTTGAGAAAGTCTTATTTCTTTTAGTTTGGATAGAATAAAAGCAGTTTTTAAAATGTTTAAGCAGTTTTTAAGGTCAATATTGTTAGCCTTCTTAAATACAGAACAAACCACAGTTACCCAATGACTTGGCCAATAGATCTTACTTGCCTAATTAACCTAATTACATTTTTAAATGTCACTTTAGGCTGAATACTAATGTCTTACAAATTATCTACTCAAATATTATGTGCTGTCATCATGGCAAAGATTACGGAAGAAATCAGTTATTAGAATTTAGTCATTTAAACTATTTTGTTTAGAAATGTGTTGACAATAATATTCTCTCTGTTAAAGAGCACTTGGGAATTTCTTTTTTAAATAAAAGAAAAAATTAACATGGGAAATGAAACAAGGTTGACAAGCCTCTATAGACTGAGTGCACACAGCCTTAAGTTTTGGAGGTTTTCATACTTGATGCGCTTGCTGTTGTACTATTATTATTAACAACTGGAGGTGACTCGGAGGAACTTTAATGATGAAAAGTTGTGAAGAACAAGTCAGAAGTCGCTAAACAAATGAATTGCAGTTGAAATCAGTTTTGTTTGGGTTTTTTTACAGCATGTCTGATAAAAAATTTTCTTCTGGAGAAAGTCTTATTTGTTTTATTTAGGCTAGAATAAAAGCAATTTTTAAAAGCCATTTTGAGGTAAAAATTATTGGCCCTTTTAAGCTTTTTCCCCGCGATAGTCTACAGAACAAACCATGGATATACAATAACTAATTACTCTAACCTGCCTAGTTAACCTAATTAAGCCTTTAAATGCTACTTTAAGCTGTATAGAAGTGTCTTGAAGAATATCTAGTCTAATATTATTTACTGTCATCATGGCAAAGAGAAAATAAATCAGTTATTAGAGATGAGTTATTAAAACTATTATGTGTTGAAAATGTGTTGAAAAAATCTTCTCTCTGTTAAACCGAAATTGGGGAAAAAATAACAGGGGAGCTAATAGCTCAGGGGGACTAATAATAATTCTGCATAATTCTGAAGTTAACTGTATAAAATAAATAGTTTGTGGATAAGTTGTGGATACACTCATGAAATTATTTGTTGTCAGTCAGTCGTGTATGCTTACAAAAATTGGCCTTTAATCCCAGCACCAAGGCAACAACGAGTAAGCAGCAGTTCTTACGTACTAGTGATTTACGTACAGTGTTTGGCAAATTGTTTCTAAATAGCTTAAAAGTAAAATAGTGGATTTTTTTCTAATATCATCTACTTATTTTTATTTTAATTAAGCCAACTGAAAAGAAACAGTGATGGAAAAGGTGTTAAATGTTAAACATGTTTCTTTAGTTTGTTAATATTCTATTGATGAGGGCCACACATTTAATGTAAAGGATGTTATTACTTGGTGTATTAAAGTTCAGCAACCTGGTTTCATTGTTCTAAACACATTTGTCAATGACAATCCCACTGAAATTGTTGACTATCATTCTTAATTTGAATTGATTTTAATTGTCAATTTCAAAATCTTTGGCTGTAGAAGCAACACTGTCAGGTGGTGTAACTGGTTTTTGTCAATTGGTGTAACCAGTATTTTACATAAAAATATAATTATGTACATGGAAATAATGTGAAATTAAAATTAAAACACTTAGTTTAGTGTAATAAAATAGTTTTTAACATTTTTTACATAATTTGTCAAAGATTATTTAGAAACCAGAAGTGTTTTTAGCATGTGTCTGGCCGAATATTGCAAAAACTCATTAAAATGTACATTTAGAGATAATGCGAATACAATAAATGTTATTGTGGTATTTTAAAATGAAGTATTTATTTCAGTGTGTACACTTGCATATCATCTAGAAGGAGTAAATTTTTTAATATTTCACAATTTTTGGCAGTGACACCATTTGACATTTTCAGTTGCATTCAGTCTTAATGTCTGTAAAAAATGGTGTAAATGTTATTTTTAATTACATAAAATCAACATGAATACAATCTGTACATTTTAAAATATCTGACGGATGCTTTTAAATCAACTTTGTAAAAGATTTTTAAATTTCCCATCTTGCCAAACCTCTTTTGTCACTGACCCATTATGTATTGTGTAACGTCGTTATTAAAAAAAAAAGCAGTCAAAAGACACCATATTCTTTTGTTTAGTTTAAATATCT